GCAGAACAAAACACGAATTTATCAAGAAAAATATTCGAAAAAGTTCGACCTGCTGCTCGTTCTCTCTAGAAAAACGACAAAGGCAATACAATACTATTATTGATATCGAGGTCACAAATACTGTTTCGTTCTTTTTGTTATTATATATGCAGTAGCATTTAATGTTAGGGGTGTTCATTTATATTTATTGATCTTTATAATAACGAGTAAATATAAATAAAATGCTTATAGTTACTTGTAAAATAAAGATAAATATTTTATTTATATTTAAAAAATAAAGATTAATAAATTTGAAAATATTTATTATTTGAAAAATAAAGATAAATAAATCAGATAATTTGGAAAAATAAGTATAAAGTAAATATAAAGTTAGCAATTTTTCTATGAGCGACAAAGAAGCAAATGCCTGATCAAGGCTGCCAGATGTTCAGGTCCCAGATGGAGTACATGTCGGCAGTATTTCTAATAGGATTTCGAAGCACTGTGTACATGTACACCCTACTAAGCCAAAAATTTGATTTTCAGAGTGTACTTCATAGGAAAACAAAGTGTATTCTGAAAAATAGAGTGTACGCCCATATCGCACAAACCGATCGAAAACCACCGGTTAACCGCGGTTTGTTTTTACAAAAATCGGTTAACCGCGGTTATGTAAGCCATTTTAGCGACTTTACAGCGTAAAAACCGACGGTTAACCGTGGTTAAACGCCCAGTTAACCGGATAAATAACCGGTTAATTGAGGGCGAACCGACTGTTTGTCCGGTTAACCGGGCGTTTAACCGCGGTTAACCGTCGGTTTTTACACTGTAAAGTCGCTAAAATAGCTTGCGTAACCGCGGTTAACCGATTTTTATAAAAAACGAACCGCGGTTAACCGATTTTTCTCGATCGGTTTGAGCGACATGGGACCGTACTTCTCCGTATTCATATAGTTTAAGGTCGTCTACGGATCGTTTTGTCCAATCTGTGTATTTCGACAAATTATTTCGTATCTATAGTAACGTTTTCTTTGTTTTAATGTGCAATGTTGGTGGTAAATTTTTCGATGTTGTTCACCTGTTTGACCATTAGTAGCATAAAACGTCATTAGCTGTCAATGGTCAATTCTATCAGTATTGAAATGTTCTAATTGTGGATCAAGTCCAATGTTGAAGCTTGGCCGAGGATGACGTGCTTATCTAGTCATCGGTTCAGTTTATACGCTATTGTATTTTGTAATGACCAGCTATTATTCAATTCAATATTCAAACAGGATTCGCACATGTATTGTATATTATTATTCGATAGCTACATTTAGCCAAATGTAAAAAAACTGAATGAAATAGATTTTATTAATTCATCAATTGTTTCTCACATAAAAATATTTTTATAAGTTGCAATGCTGTTTCACTAATGCGTAGTAAATGATAAGCTTCAATAAAAACTATATATGAAAATGAATTGGATAGTATAATTTGAAGTTGTATTAGCGCAGGTTTATTTGCTGTCGATATGCATCTCCTAATTTTTACCATGGGCAGTTAATAATGAGAACACAGAAAAACGAAACCTAGAGGTACAGACACACAAAATAATAATATAATCATACGATGTTACAATATAAACCGACTCACATGCGTGTAGAAAATTAGGCCATAGTATTTCAAAAGGATCTGGGGAATTCTTCAATAATCCGATATCATCAATTGAAAATAGAGTAATTGTATCCGCCAGATGAGTATTTATTCCTTCGCAGCCTGTGCACCTTCTAGCCATTCATTCTTGTGGGTGTTTAGAATTCGTTTCTCAGTAAGTAATTCTATGTTTTTAGAGACATTCAGAGCTTTAATAATGTTGTATAGAACTGTGTTAAGTTACCTTGCTGACATTCTGAGAAGACGGGGAAAATAGTAAAGAGTCATGTGAAAATAGGAAGAACATAGCTAGAGAACAACACTACGTAGTTCTCATGATGATATTCCATAAATACGGAAACATCTACTAGTTCTGTGCCGATGATGAATGTTTTTGAAAATTTTATCCTCTTACAATAATATCAATGAATGTTACATCAGCAGTGAGGCAATTGATAAGAATATTCTTGCAGAGACAAAGCTTCAAATACTGGATATTGTGTAACAAGTTCTAGTTCATGAATTAATTTTTTTTGAGAAACAGTACGAAAGTTTTGACTTTGTTCACCAGTAATAGTTGATTGTATTTGATTAAACTTTCATCTGGTATTTTGATGACATTCATGTTACGATAACTTGACTATAATTAAGAAAACATTTTATAATAATTGTCGATTCACTAAATACTGAATCTTTAATTCATAAATATTAATTAATCTAATAATCAGTCCATTTCGTTTGAAATTCTATTATTGGAATGGATCACTGTATGAGACAGATTCGATGTTGTGACTTGTGAATGTGATGTTATTTTTTTATGTGTTTCAAAAACATTATACATATTTTTTTCTTACGAAATGAAAACAAAGTGACCGGCAGAATTTTTTCCTGTTCTTAATTCTGTCGATCATGTAATTTGTGTTCCAAATGTTGTCGAAGTAATGAAAATACATAGAACTATTAAATATAAGCACGTGGGTGCCTTCTTGACTAGACAAAATCACTATCGTTCTTATATCAATCGATAGATCTCTTCAAGGGCTACCCAGTCGTATGAAGTGAGCAGAAGCAAACCTAATTACACGTGATTTTGTTTCTTCAAAAGACATTCGATAAGAGGGACCATTGTGCTTCAATCCATTATTCTACAGGATAACTGCACTTCAGAGTACAATCAATAGCATATTCGGAATCAGTGGCACAAATTACATCAGTTCAGGGAGTTTTTCGAAAAAACATTTCTTTCACCAAAAGCTTACGTGAGGGGCCCCGCGGTACGTTTTTTTGAAACATTTAGCTGTGGTCACCCTAAGGTAAGCTTTTGGTGAANATACCGGAAAGAAACAATGACTTTTCTACGATATGTATAACTCGAGTTATAAAAGAAATACAAAAAATATGTTTTTACCGGCAGAATCAGGTCACCCGACTCTATCTATACAATGATAACTGTAAAACATGGTTGTATTTTGATTCATTATTTAATTTTTAGATTTTTTTGTCACATTTGATTCTATATTTCTTTTTTAATATGAATTTTTTGTATTGCTTTTATTTTTTATGTAAAATAAATTAGGCTAATTCAAAGATTATTGTTAAATATAAAAGAATTATTGTCGAGGCAAAGGCTGGAACAGTGTCAGTTAGCAGTTGTTTACCGGGAAAAAATTAGCAATTTACGTTAGTTTACCGCGGTTTTTGGAGCCGGTAACGTAATCGGTAAAACCGCCAGTTTTATCACATGGGATGATGGTGACACCTATTTCGTGAGTATGAATGATATGTCACACGAAGCATAGCAATACCATTATTATAATGGTGAAAAAAGTGTGTGAATGATGAAGAGAGATCTACTGAACTGTGTTATACTTATCGTTTACCTATTTTGTTGCATCATCTACTTCGCGCTACAATGAGCATACTACGGATTCGATGCTCTCTATCAATTCATGGACTGAAGAGAGATAAGAACCGTGCATCTAAATAAGCAAGTTTTATTAAGATATGAAATTGTTGATTTATGTAAATAGACCGTCTATATATATAAACTATAGTAATTATGGTGATGATAATGTTCAACAGGGATGTTGTACTATTATTTTAATAGTATCTTCATTATAAGAACACTTGTTGAATAATATGGTTTTCCGATATTGGACCTTTTTTTAAATTTAATAGAACAATTTATATTATACAGGATTATCGAATCTATGGATAAAATATACTGAACATTTCTACACGAAATACAAGTATATCGTACGTATATTTGAAAACTTGGTGATCTTTTATAAAACGATATCAACCGTTTGTAACTGAGTTCAACTGACCATGATCTGGGCACGTTATTACTAAACAATCACATCAACAAAGTATGTATTTTTCGATATGACAAACCAACATGTATTGTACCAAATATAACATGTTAAATTTGCATTATAATACTAGAAAAGAAACGAAGGATTGTATCTACATGAATGAATGAATCATAAAAATAAACATATTATTCTCAAGCTAAAATCAAAGGTCACTCTATAAATAATCAATAACGCTTTGTCATTATACGCTTGAGAAGTAAAGCGATAGATCGATACACTTCATTGCTGAAATTGACATGAGATAAGAAATAGGCTTCATTTGTCCACAAAAAATATAATGAGCCACAGTGATGAGTAACAAACAGAAACTTATGAATAATAAAATATTCAACAAAAGAAGTGACCTAAACTTCTTCTTTAATTGAATGTCAGAAACGGTGATATTATTTTATTTATTTGCTTTTTTTTGTATGACGAACTTATAAAGAGTTTATTGGCTACATGAGCTTCGAGTAGAATATTTATTCAAATGTCGCGGAGTTTCTCAGAAGTTAAAAAAAGACGGAAGTAATTACTTATAAATGATTTCAATTTTTTATTTCCATTTGAGTATCATCATTTAAATAGAACAATAAATGTGTTCTATTGCGTAGGAAGAATAAAATCTTCCCGATGATAAAAGAATTCTTTTTGGTCTTTCGTAGAAATGCTCTCAATGATGTCTCCGACAAAATCTCAGATGAATTATTATATTTATTAGAACTCACACTTACTACGTCGTTCCTGTTTGTTGTAATAATTTTAGCATGATTTCTTTAACCTTAATATTTTTTGTTGGCTTTTTTAAACAAAACAAAATTCTATGTACACAAAACATGTGTTATTGTATTCCTTGAATAAATAATAATAATAATAAAAAAGAAAACAACGGCGAAGTCCACATTGATCAATATATATATATATATGAGTATGTTATGGAAAAAAAAGTCAATTTTTCTTCTTGATACACTAGACTAGACAGATAGATAATATGATTTAGTATAGAAGTATTCTGTCCAAAACAGAAAACATTTATTCATCTGTACCAATCATTTGAAACAATTCTTCAAAACTAATTGTTGCTGGTGATTTCGCTTGAACTGTTTCAATATATATAATATCATCTTCGTCATCATTATCATCATTGTGTTCATTTTGTTGATGTTCATTATTCGAATAATTTAAACACAGTACAGAATTTGTCGATGACGATGAATTATCAAAATTCGCATCGTTATGATATTCAACTTTCATTTGTTTTAGTATTGGTAAATCATCATCATACTCTTCATCGTCGATTATTTGTTCCACATGTCTCTTAGGTTCCGTTTTCCGTAATCGTTTTGTTGCCCGAGGTAGAATTGTTGATGGTAATAATGGAATTACTTTTTCTGTATTATCTATTTGATTTAAATTTACAGATATTTGTTCATCTAACTGATTGTTGTTATTATTATTATTAATTTGTATAGATTGTTTTAATAAATTTTGTATATCATATGTATCAATCAATGTGCTAGCATGTTCAAGTTGTTCATTAATTGAATTTAAATTATAAAATAACGATAGAATGTCGTCAAATTGTATCGTATGAGATTTTTGTATGAATAGTTCAGCTTGTTTTAATAGATCAATAAATGGTTCGGTTGTATTACGTGTTGATATATTTAATTTCGACCAAAAATGGTTTTTTATTTGTTCATTATATTTATTCAAGGAGCTCAATATGGACTGTTTGTGTTCAAAAAATGCTTTTTCAAAATTTGAAAATATTGTTTCAATTTGTTGAATTTTTTTCCGATTTATTTCATTTAATTCAGTCAATTGGTCGCGAGTTGAATGAATACGATTTAGACGATAATAACAGGTTTGAACAATATGTTGAATATTATCAATAACTTTTTCTCGATCATTCACAAAACATTTTTGACATAGAAGATAATCACAACATGAACATAATATTAACGAAGTTTTTTCTTGACATTTTGTACATTTACCACTAATATCGTAATTTTTTGGAACTAATTCAAGTAGTTGACGATGAATATATGATATAGGAAATTGATCAGCACCATTATATGGAAATGTACGACGACATAACGGACAAGCTATAGTTGGATATGGTAAATTAGATGAAGGAATTGATTTAAGACATGAACAACAAAATACATGTTGACATGGTAATGCACGAGGATCACGTAAACGATCAATACATAATGGACATTGAAGATTTTCTTCGATATTCGAATATGAATAGGCTAATTTTGGTGACGAAGTAGCATTAGAACTAGTATTACAACATTTCGATGTAACACTATTTGAATATGAGTTTTGCACTAAAACAAAATCAATGTATATTTATTTTTTCCTAACAAAGTAGGAATTTTCTTTTATATGCAATACCATACTTTTTATATTTTGGTCTTGAATACTATTGGATGTCGCTGTTTTTGATGATGTAGAAGACGACGACGACGACGACGAAGAAGAAGAAGAAGAAGAAGGAATAGCATTGCTGTAAATCGTATGGGTAGGTTGCGTAGCCAATGATGTAGAGGTAGAAGCAGTTCGAAGTGCACTTGTTGATGTAGTTGTCAATCGTGCTTGCATTTTAGGTGTTTGCCGTGGAATACGATAGATACTTAAATCGATTGGACCTGATGTCGATTCTCTTCCATTAGGTGCCGATCTCAGTTGGCTGTGCATACGAAAAAGACTATGACGTACACTTGGATAACCTATGAATAATAAGTAGATGCACACAGTCAGCTGATTGTTAAACAAAAAGAAGAAGGAATTAGAAAGTTTTATTTATTGTTTTCGTGTTCTTAGCGAAAGGCAATTTAATCTTACCACTTGTAGTAGAATGTTGGTGCAAATTTGATTGATTAGTTGATAAGGAAGAAGATGCTGATATTGATGACGATGTTGATTGTTGATTTTGCTGTTGTTGTTGTTCTTGTCGTTCTGGTTGCTGTTGTTGTGGAGGTGTGTAAGAATGAACGGTCCTCATGAATATAACTTTTTAATGTTAGCTTATATGGATCTTCAATTAACCAAGTATATATTAAATCATAGAAAGCCTAAATTTGTCATTTATTAATTAGAAAAGAAAACTTTTCTCAAATAAAACCAATCGTGAGTATTAATAATAATGGTGATGATGTTGTATGTATGTATGTCTGTGTGTTGTGTGTCTGTCTCTGTGTTGTTGACGTTCTGTTGCTCTACGTATATAGTCTGCGTTCGCTTGCCCGCTTTCACTTACACGCTCTCTCCTTTTTTTCTTCTGTATTCTACTTCTACTATTACACGATGACGACAGCACATAAAAAACCCCAACTACATGTCGTTTGCAAGTCACAAGCATTTTTTATTTTTTTTCTTTGCTCATTTAAAATTTTACGCATAGGATAAATGTTTCATAAATGAATAATTAATTTATGATTTCCAGAATGAACACTAAAAGAGATTTACACAAAAATATCCTACATATGAATAGAGCAGCGCACAACGTTATCATGGAAAATGGTAACAAAATGATTTTTGCAAATAATTTCCCATAGTAGGATTTCCAACTATGTTCATGCAACAAGATTTCTTTTTCAAAAATTAGTAATTAATAACGGGGTGACATAAACATTGATGTTCTAGTGCGTTGCTGTAGATTTTATTTTGTTCGCGACGAACAGAAAGAATAAAAGCGTTCTTCTTCTTTCTTTTTCGCTAGGCGTATTTCTGAAAGAAAAAAATATTGGTTGGTGATCTCTTTAAAGTTTCATTATTATTCCAAGAATACAAAAAAACGCCTTTTATTTATAATCCCTAATTAAAAATATTACTATATTTTAATTTAGAATCAGAGAAACAGCCTTACGGTTTATTAAAGAATTTATTTATAGCATTCTAAAAATTTTGTTTATGAACTCAACATGTCATATATAATGTAACCGATAACGCATGATTCTAGGCTGTATCATTTGCGCTGAGAAAAAAAACAATTTCCTATGACTAATTTCGGTCCATTTTTCTTTTTTTTAGAATGATTATTTCTCGGTGCTAATCATACTGTATATTCAGTATTGATTTTATGATAAGAATAAAAGAAATATTTATTAAGTAGAAGTTGGTCTATTTGAACAGTATAATCATTCATATTTTTTACAACTATATATATATATATATATATATTATATACAGCTTTACTGATTCGTAAATTTTGATACAAAAAATAGAATTACTTTGAGAATCATGCTAAAGTGCATAAGTGTGCTTTCGATAGTAACGTCTGCGCAATTTTCATTTGAATAATCGATGATCAATAATAAAAAGATTCTAGCAACATTTTTTCTAGGAAACACGTCTGCCGTATGCAAACTTTCTTTTTTATATTATTACAAATTAACTCAAAGCTAATTCTAATTTTTAATTATTTTGTTGTGCAAACAAATTTAATAAAACTCTTTGCTTTATGTCCTTAAAATTTACATTGAATTGTCTGACATTGAAAATATTCTATGAAATAGAGTTGACTTATTTCTTCAAAAAAAAATAGAAAAAAAAACTATAAGCTCGATTGGATGAAATTTTATTTAAATACAATAGTACGAGATAACGTTTAGCTATGTTTTCAATTTAGCACAACAGAAAGAAAAATGCATGTATAACCTTACTCTGAAATCATTGCATCAAGTTTTGAAATCTGGCTCCTAAATTGTATTACAGTACAATCTAACATAAGACTCAATCTCTAGTTACTACAAATGCTTCAGAACGATCTCTTTTCCCATCCCATGTGCATCATATCATTATTTTACCATATGTTATATGATATTAGCCAATAAAAACTTTTCTCTAATTTTAAGAATACAATTAACATGAATTTCTTATTCTATCAAACGAATGTACTTTTACAAACACTTGAAATAATTTTTCTGTTTGTTTGTTTTTTCTTCTGAAGTACGTTCGCTTAAGCGACGTGAATAGGTATGACCATACAAACAACGATAAAAATAGATCAAACCTCTAAATATTACTGCTTAAGGGTTAGACTTCTATTAGATTTATTTTAAAATTATCTCATGTAATAGAATCGATCTAACATATAACTAACTAAAAAAACTGATGCGTCACGTCAAAAAATGCAACGCTGTGAAAACTGTAGCCATATTATAATTAATCACTGCAGTATTGGAATATTTTTAAATTTATTCATAATATTATTGAAAATTTTCTATGTTTAAAAAAAATGCTTAGTTTATTTAATAAATAGAGAAAACTAACTATACGCGATCTTTTATTGTTTCATTGAATTTCAATAGTCGTATTTCAGCGGTCTCTATCGAAATGTTTGCTTTAATTGACCTGGTTTTTTATCTCTTAAAGATAAGTTCTTCATTTTATTTTTCTTTATATCGAGTATAGGTAGTACGCGTTGTGTTGTTTGCGAGAATGCCCGTAGATTTGAGCGCAGGTAATCGTCGAAAAATCAATTCTTATTCAAACATCAGCAATATTATACAATCTAGGTTCGATTCCATCAATCTATCGTAATCTATTTGAATTGATTAACTTACATGGTATTGATAAGCTAACACTTGCTGTATTTGTGCCATTGTTTGAATCAAATGTATTGACCAAAACAATATTAAATCAAGTTTGAATTCGAAGTGTAAAGATTGCAAGGCATTGTTTGGTTTGTTTTTCGTTAGATTTGGAATTCAGTTATAAAGACAAATTCACTTTCTTCTCGTAATGATTTTTATAAATGCTTGGCATTAATGGCACTTGCTCAGCAAGGAAAAATTGTCGATGAAAAGTTACTTGATAATTATGTAAACCGAGGTATCAAAATGAATAAATGAATGTCAAATATCATAATAATTCTTCATTTAGAATTACCCATCCCAACATTAGACAATTTAACTGAGTTAGAAGAACGTTTAATTCGTATACTACGTAGTGACCAAGGAAAAACAACATTCTGTTTTCGTTACGGTGACCTATGTTCATTAGATACTATACAAGTTGAAGTTGCACCTGACAAAAAAGGTAAAACATATTTTCTTCAAAAACAAAGGTATGTATACGTGTTTCATTTATTCTCAGGTGTTATTATACGACATTTTGAATATGAAGTTACAAGCATGGTAAATGTTGCATAGTTCTTTTTGGTGTTGTTAGGATTGTTGTTATAATATATTCTCATTCTCTTCTTTCTCTATCAGCATTACAACAACAAAGTTTCACGTCGCTATAATGACTTCATTGCTTTGCATGAACTATTGTCTTTGAAATATCCCTTTCGAATAGTACCACAACTTCCACCAAAAAAAGCCGTTAATGGTCTCTAATTTTATTTCAATTTTGATTAAATTGCTAAAAGAAAAATTAGATAATCTACAAAAGCTTGGCGCATTGCTATATTTATATGAGAAGAGAATTTAATAAATTAAACCAATAAATTTTATTTTAGTTGATAAAGAATTCATTGAAGAACGTCGGCGATCATTAAAACGTTATCTTCAAATACTGTGTCGACATCCGGTTCTATGTGAAACAGAAATCATTAAATTTTTTCTAACTTTTCAAGGAACAGTTCGTATTATAACATAAAATTTCATCATATTTTATTTTCGAATATTTTAGTCATGTGGTGATAATATGAAAGCAACATTTAAGAACAGTCTTGATGAATTCAGTTGTGAACCACCAACATCATCAAGTTCTATCGATAGAATCGAAGTATATATTTTATTTCTTATATTGAATGTTTTCCTATTGTTTACAAAATGTGTCTATAGAGACATGAGGAAGATTCAACTGGCATTAGAATGTTTCATATCAGTGAAACACATATATCATTTCTTCATCAACAATTTTCTCAAATTCGCACTTACCTGAAGAATATTAATGAAAGAAATTTTAAAACGGCTGATGAATATTGGGCAATAGAAAAATCTTTACAGTAAAAAATTTTTCATTTAACATTCCACCAATACAGATGTTTATACGTTATATAAATAGATTAATAAGTACAGATCCAACGCGTATTGAACGATGGGCTACTGGTCCTAACGATTATTGGCCAACAATTCAAACTGGTCTTACGGAGCTACCTATTGAAATGAATGCTGTGGCAGAACGTATTAATGAAGAATGTAAACGAGAAGATGAAGTTATCAATGATCATCTTGACATGTTAATTGAACTATTTCAAGGATATAAAGTAAAGTAAAGAGAAACAAATTAGATATTTTTTTTAAATTTAGCTTTCTTCTAAAGGATTTATGTAAACGATTTGAAGAATCCTTACAAGTTGAACAACGAGCAATTCAAAAAGCAACACATCAAAATCGACGTTCATTAACAACCAGTGATTCATCAACCAAAGTAAATTTATTTCTATCGATATGACAAGGAGTAAACAGAGCTTGACTTATTTGATCCGATGTCTGAACTTATTCATTAGTAAATATAATACGAATGGGAACGAGAAATATGTTATCAGTTTTGAGGTATCAAAAAGTATGAACAAATCCCTACATATTGAGCGTAGGAGTTCAACAAGAAAAGCTTCAAATATCCTGAATTTCGCTTTTGAGTATGTCAGAATTAAACTGCATGTGTATCATAGCAATCCACTCCTTGGCAGTAAAAACTACCACGAGAAAAATTTTCTTTGGATCATTTCAAATAATATTATCATAAGCAATAGAAATTTAATCTTCATAGTGTTGTATCCATTTACAATTAAAATAACTCCTGGCAAAAAATGTCTGGATACTAAGCATTCACTTATTTCTCGGGCGCTAAGAGTAAACTGATAAAAGCCAGAAACAGTTAGTTTCCGCTTTATCGAAGTATGTGTTCAAAGTTTCCTGTCACCGTTAGAATGAATATCTATCGGTAAATTTTATACAAAAGTTCCTAACTTTGGAAATTGGTTTAACTACTATTTTAATTTGTACCTGTGAAACTACCTCCTATATATATATATATATATATAATCAATAAAATCTCATGTATGATTTCCTATAACAGCACTAGCTGCTATGGGGAATCAAAATTGATAAAAATATCTGTCATGCAACAATAGAAAGTACCCATTTGCTTGACTAGATTCGAAAATGGGTGAAATTTTTGTACCGAAAACTTCTGTGCATGGATTCATGATATAAAACTGACTGATTCTTAGGAGAATAAAAATTTTAAAAAGCTTCTCATTTCACATGGAATCGGGAAAATGTTTTTAAATATGAAATTACCTTCGTTGATAAGAATTTATGATAGTGTAATCCAATCTTCCTACGAAGGTTCTCGGTACATGTTTCTATTGACATAATGGACATTATCAACGGATAAAGAAATGAACATGCGATTATCAATATTTTTCTTTTACAACTAAAAATGAATATCGACGTAAATGATATATTCCATTAAATATCTAAAATTGTCTGATAAATCTTTCAAAATTTTGTTTTATTCTTTTTAGAATGATCTCAGTTCGATTGAAAAACGTAATAATCATGCACTTAAATGTATACAAATTGAAACACAATTAATCTATGCAAATTTAGAAGCATTTGTGTATATATTGAGTAGTTTAGGAAATATTCAATATAAAGTTTCATCTGATGTAAGTTCTTTTCATTTTGTTTATTTTAACTATGCATGCTGTTTTTTTTCCTTATTAAATAGCTTCTCGATATTTGGAAATCATTTTCAAATAAAATCTCTGAACTTGGACAAACATATATCAATAAAACATCGTTACAAAAAGCAAATACATCTGGAGTCAAAAAATAAATAAATGCTTATTTTTCTGTTTTATTTACTTGTCGGTTTTGTTTTTATTCAAAAAAAATATATATATATATGCCCAATAAAAGATAAACGCATGTTTTTTGTTGCTTTCAATATTATACCGCTCAGGTGTCATTGATTTTGTATTATTTTTGAAATAATCTTGTCCAACGATCAGGTAAGACAGCCGATGAGGGAAGCGGTTGTTGTGAGTTTTTTTGCTGGAAGAAATCTTCATTATTAGTTTTTATTGGTTTCGCTTGAAAGCCTTTTTCACGTACTAAACCCATATTTCTTTTTATTGGAAGTCTATGATCAATGAAGACCGTAGTAACTAGATTATTGAAAAAGAATATGAGGAGAATAAAGTAGACAAAACCCAATCGAGCCATGAGAATATTTTAATCTAGTAGTAAAAAGAACAAAGTAGCCTAAGATTAACATAAATCAACGACTCTATTCAACAAAAAGATTTTATTGAGGATAAAAAATTTATTGAGCACATACTTACTTTGAAAACAATGCGCCTCTTACTTGAGAGACGCAAAAAATAGTTTGATATAGAAACTTGTGTTTTCTTAGTATTTATACTCGATTTGATTCAATCTAAATCACGCACATTTCCATTACTCGCAGTTATATATGCGGGTAGATATTATGGAACCAAGGAAATTCAATTTGACGATAGAAAACGCCTGGGATTATTGTCTAGGTTATTGTTTATCGATATAAATTACAACAGAGTCGATTAAAATCATATTGAATGATGACGTGCACAATATAGTTTAGGCTTCTTGTTTTTTCCCTGCTAAAATGAATTCGAAGTCTATTATTATGTAAAACTTTATATGGGGATAACACATTTTGATATCAGACAATGTTAATTGAAGGTTAAAAGAATATTTAAATAAAATTCATTTGAATGTCTTTCATTTTTATGTAAATCTGATCATAAAAAGTACACATTGCATAGACAAGCGATGGTCTATTCATCGTTTTCTGTTTCTTTATAAAATAGAATAGAATGATAGTAGAACAGCATCATATCGTAATTCTTTTTTTCTTCACTTCATTCTCTTTCTTTTATATTTTACTTTTATAGTGACGTGAATCGAGCCAAATTTCATTGTGTATATTTGATTCTCGTGTCAGCAACATACGGTGCCCGTCACGCATTTTTTACATTCAACAACAGCGCCTAGCACGTAGAAGAAAAGAAAGAAAAAGGAAAGAAGGAGCACACGGACGCAAGAGCAGTACTGTTGTTCATTGTATTTGCAAGACTCGGAACGAGTGTCTAACGTTATAAATCATTTTTCTTCTTCTTCTTTTTTTAAAATAAAGAGCGACAGAGGTCAAATTATCCGATGAGCTTTCGACGTTCATCAACACGTGTGAAACCACCTAAAGCAACAATAAAAATTCTTTGCGTTGGTGATGGTTCTATCGGTGAGTACTTGAAATTACTTTTAGTTTCACTTTTAAACAATAGAAAAAACAAAACGTTTTTCTTTTTATCTGTTACATAATATATTTACAGGAAAAACGTGTTTGTTAACTGTATTTGCAACAAGTAAGAAAGAACGCAGCCAGAATGTTTTGTTTTTCTCTCGAACAAAAAAAATATTTATTTAGATGAATTTCCCTCAGCTTATGAACCGACGGTTTTCGATAATTTTGCTTGTGTAATGCATCGAAATTCAGCGGCATCGTACAATCTTGAATTATTTGATACAGCTGGTCAGGAAGAATGGGAGCAGCTTCGCCGAATGATGTATGCTAATACAGACGTGTTTTTGGTATGTTATTCATGTATGCAACCATCTTCATTTGATAATGTCGAAAAAAAATGGATGCCTGATGTACGCAGTCATGATCCATCCAGTCTTGTGATTCTTGTTTCACTTTGCATTGATTTACGTACGAATAATAATTCAGTGAATGCTCAACCTGATCTTATATCAACACCAGTGGTCACAAGTCGACAAGGAGCTGACTTAGCTAAACGTTTAAAATGTAATGCGTTTATCGAATGCTCGTCAATGCTTCGTTTTCATGTTCGAGAAGTATTCGAATGTGCTGTCGATGTATTTGAACGTGATTATCAACGATATTCTGATCAATATTGTCATGATCAACGTCGATGTCACACATGGTTATGTTGCCTTATGTGTTGTTCATCGAGAAAGCAAATATCACAAAAAAACAACAAACACGATAAGTCAGATCAATACGTTTACAATCCAGAATGAATAGTATATATATATATATATATATATAAATCTTTAGGCTTTTTGTTATTAATGTGTCCTATTTAATCCGGTGGTTTGTATGTTTCGATTTTTCTTTTAAACAACAAAAAAGTTTGCTTTCTTTGTTTATTGTATCTTTTAATGTTTGTTTTGCTGTTGTTATGTTTTGTCATTCATGTATCGAAAAGGAGCAAGAGAAAAAAATTTAGCATAACACCACGAAATACAAAGTAAAGAGCACGACAGTTTCATCTATCTATCTATACAAATTTATGAAAACACATTTAACAAAAAAGGTGACAACTACGTATGAATAAGAATAATATCTAGTTAATTCTGTACAGGTTCCATTTGATTGATTTCGTTAAGTAAACGTCTTCCATGTGAAGGCCAATCCATTTCAGTAATGCTCACACATGTAAATCGAATTTTTCGTTCATCCTAAAAATTAGATGTTTAATTATCACAAGAATAACAGTTCATTTTCTTACATTATATTGTTCAGCTTTAGCGCGAAGTTTAAATATTAATTCACGATTCATTGCTTTACTAATAATCTCGTCTACAATACTTTCGCTTTGCTTAAAAAAATAAAATGAAAATATTTTCATTTCGAAAGAAAAATATTTACATTAAGCTTATGATTTCCAAATTCTTCAGCAGAAACACCAAGCAAAGTTTCAGCTTCATTTCGAAAAATTGTGATCCATTGAGCACTAGCAGTATCAGAAATTTCAGCCTAAAATTGCATAAGAAAGAAAAAATATGTAATTAAAATGGTCGTTGAACACGTCAGGAAGACAATTTATAAGAGCCTTTGGCAAAGACAACCTTGAACATCATGATTATGACATTTTCTCAGTTCAGATCTTTAATAACCAACCAAAAAAAAGGACTCTCCTGTACGTTCGTTTCCTTTCTTTGTGAGTCTTATTAGAATGAACCTCATCTTTTTTTGGCTAGAATTTTTCTTTTAAAATACATACCGAAATCATATAAGCCCATTTAAAGCTGTTATATGTCTTATTGCATTTTTCACATCGATATGTTCCATTATTTTCATCGACGACCTTTTTACTGCATTTTCCCTCTGGACACATCTATTGTGATAGAAAACAAATATAAACAAGTTTCAATCCATTGTCAATATTGTTATTTTTACCATATAAACAGCAGTGTCTTTTTTAATAATAGTAATGACTGCTTTAACACTAACATAGTCCGGTTTATCACCAAGACCAATACCTTCAGTAATAACTTGCGAGAGTGTTTTCATTACAGCTAAAATTATAATAATAATTAATCTCACACAATAACAACAACAAAAAACACAAACTTGGCCGATTTCCAGCTTCACCTGCCTTCGATAAATCAGGTAGATCCATTAATTTTCCTTCATTATCAAACCAAACACGAAGTTCAACTGTTCGTTCGGTTTCAGTTGGATCTTGACGCATCAATGTACTATTACTAACCGATAGAGTACGACCTAAATTGAAAAAAGAAAACATACGCAATGCTCTCGTTAATATTTCTGTAGAATTAGCTTTCAAATCTATACCATTAAAATCACCAATTTTAATTGCCTTAAAAGCAATAACCGGATGAGATGACCCATCAAACTCTTCAGCCTAAACGAAAATAAAAACTGAACCAATCGAAATACAATCGACTTTTTATTTTTACTTGTTGGCCCCATAATGTAGCTGATATTGACGCTTTCTCGTCTACCAACAGTATATCACGTTTACTAAATTCTTTTTGTGATGCTTTACTAACAATAGTTTGCATATCCGATGTGCTTTTAACAACACCGATAACATCTAAAATATACTTAACTAAAAAACAGATTTATTCCATGAAATTTCCCTACCACAAACGCTATTCGCTGCTCTATTAGCAATTTCGCTTATCGAAATAAAATTATATTGAACTTGAGGAATATTTTCTCCTTCACCAACATCACATGCTTCAACAATTGTATCATGATTAAATGTCATTTCATAGTCACTATTTGTTGTATTATATTGACGATTAGCAGCTTTCAACGATGCTTTAGTTATATAATAAACCTAAATGAGGAACGAATTAATTTTATTTTTTATTATAAATAGTTTCGAGCGAAAAGAAAACATACTTCACCGATCTCAAGCATAGAATATAATCTATCACATTCTGCATTAAATCCTGTAGCACGAATTTCACCGGATTTATCAACAAGATCACAACTGAATAATTTTCCTGGACCACGTGCATTTTCATACGTGCGAATTGGACATTTATTACTTATACGGGCTTTGATTGTCCACCTAAAATTTTTTTTCTTATCAAATCGATAAAAAGTAATTTGAAAAAACAAACGAACTTATTCATGTATGGATTCAGTGTATCAATATTAATTACTCGTTCTTTATCAATAACATTGGTTCCTTTTGCAGCAGCAGCACGATTACCACCGTTAGGTTTTTTTCGATCATCTAATGTCGGTAATGCTTTAGCACCTTGTCGGATGACATTCGTAACTGGAGCTGCTAGAAACGGGAAATTATCAAATTAGACTTAGAAGAAACATTTCCTTTTTGAAATAATTAGAAAGCTGATGAAGCGTTTCACTTCGAAAGTAAACGAATTCACTCGTAGTCCTTCGTCAATATTTTCTAAGTAATATGAGTTATCGAATGAATATTCAAAACTGAAGAAATTTATTTCCCGAAAGAAATGTTTTCGTTCCCAGTACCTGCAGGTGCAGCAGGTGGATTGTTGGTTGTTGCTTCTAGAAGAAAAAGATTCGACTATTTCTTTAATTGGAATTTGTATTATTTTACCTAAACGATTGGTATTAGGCTCACTATTAATAATATCAGTCAATGGCAATGCAATCGGGTCTCCAATTCGTTCGAAATCACTTTCAACTACTTCAATTTCATAAAGCATAAGCATAACTCTATATAAACAAAATGCAATTGAAAAACTAGAAGGATTCCAATTAGATTATTTACCGGCCATTTTGCTTATCAATTGAATTTACCATAACACGATCAATACGTATGATAGAATTTTCTTTCAATGTATTTGTTTCAATTAATTTATTCATTTGAGTACCAAGCATACATGCTAAATAAATCTATTGTTATTTTTCTCTTTAATCTCATGACTCGATTTTCTTACACGAAAAAGTACTTTTGCCATCAGATAACATAAGACGATAACGCTTAGCTGAACCGGATGGATCATCTGTTTTACTTTCGATTGGTTTAATACCCTAAACAAATACCAATCATCGAAAATTGTAATCGTTATGATCATATCGATACATACTACAACTTGTAAATTTGCTTTTTCTGTAGTATTACCACGTATGTAACGCTAGAACACAAATATGAAAACAATTATCTCATTGAACCAAGAATTTCATAGATATTTTTACTAAAAGAGCACCAGTTGTAAGTCGTTGACTAGCCATGTTATATTAATCTAAAAATAGTACAACAGATATTGATTACTTGAACAAAACAACGGTAACGGTTTATTAAAAGTCATTCTAATGGTATTTCATAATATACTTATTCGAGAGAAAGAAAAAATCATTTCCAACATAAAGGATTTCGTTTAATCTCGTGAATAACAAAGAACGAAAGAACGACGTATAGAAATTTAACATGGTGAACCGATCTACATTCAATCAACATGTGACAATTTCACTATCATTCGATCAAATAAATATGCATTCTATATATATATAGAAAAGAGAAAACAGAGAATGTAGAAAGAAGCAGCATAATGGAATACAAAACGAATAACTACGATTTGTAGACAAAATTGAATTTATCTTTCTGATATGTACTTTCTTTGAATTATTCGCCGATGTACATTCCATCAGCGACATCTGTATAGAGTTTTCATATATGACAATGAAATATGATAATTAAAACCACATTTACATATTCTATTCAGTCTACGGAGGACTACTGTGAGAACGATCCTCGATATAACCATCAGAAAAATATCAACAAAAGTTATCTTTGCTAATTCAAACGGGTGTAGTTCTAATTCTATTTTGTAAACAGACATAAATAGATTCGGGCAATAATATCTATCTTTGAATACTGATCAAGTTAACAAAGTGTTCAAGAAATAGTTATCAATAACATTTTCTAACTATACATTGAGCTAATTTGTTCAAACCAAATAATCTTTTATTTTATCTATTCAAATATTGAGTCAAGGGGATTATTTCTTCATTCAATAAATTTGCTTAAACATTCCAAAAAACAATCCATATACTGAAATTCATGCATCTATTTTGAACATTGATCTATACAACTCTGCTTATGTGCAGCTATTTGACTGTTTATGCTCGACCAGAAATGCAGAGCTTCGTATAGCTCACTCAAAGTATAATTAGAAAGCAGAAAAAACAATAGCCCACTGAGTTTTCCTAGCGGCTAGTGCTCAGTTACGTTAATTATCGGAAATGCATCATTCTCCCTGAGGAATTTCAAAAATAACTTTATTTTGTCTAAGTAACCTGCACTCGTATTTTCCTAACAGAAATTTGAATTCTTTGCAAATTATCAATTGTCAGTTGACGACATCTAGTGGCAAGCACAGTCAAATATGTGTTAAGACAACAAATATAACATGGAGATACATGCACTTGAATTCGGCTGACGTCAAGTTTTGTTCACTTTACATGTCCGAATGAAGATTACAATAAAAGTATAATGTATGCTGCTTAAAAAATATATCGAAAATTGATTGGTTTCTATGCAATACATCACTTCTTTAGATGGCGTTGTTGCATTTTTTGTTTCGATAAAAAATTTTCTATATTACAAATAGCAGATTCTGTTTTAGCGTATTTAAATAAATAAAATTTGATTTAACTTGTTTAATCGCTATTTCCTATGAGTACTAAATGTTGATTGGTTAGTTGTATAATGCTTATTGTTTATTTATTTCTTTCGCATTTTATATTGACTACCTCATTCTTCGTTGTTCTCGAATCTGTGTTTTGTTTTTGTAGAAGTTATTCTACGAATATGTTGCCTGCTCTTCGATCTCGTACGAGCGTGACACGTGTTATTAATCAATTGTTGGCTGCTCGTCGTCAACAAGACGCATTTCGTGTCCCTGCAAAAAATTCATCGGCCGTAACAGTACTTACCGATGAAGAACGTGCACACCAACTTAAAATATGGCCTGGTAAATAGTTCATTTTCAAACTTAACATTCATCTCTATTCTGATCACGAGTAGCAACTAAAAATATGTTCGAGTGTGTGATAGAATATGACTGAAATTCATTAGTCAAATTTTGTTTGTTGGATTCGTTGGAAACAAAGAGATTGCGTTTTAAAGATTAAACTGCTAACTAGCGAATGAAAGATTGAGATTTTGATTTAATACTGTCCATACCGTGTGAAATGAAATGTTCCTCAGGGATTTAATTTTTCAAAAACAAAAGTAAAATTGAATTTATTGTTTACTTTTCCATGAAACTTCAGGTGTTCCAGAACATGTTCGACCAGCACATATAGATTATTGTCCAATTGATCCAATTGAATACGATAAAATAACGAGCCGTTTTGGACCACAAGTTAATATGTGGAAATGGGTATCATTATTAATCGCTATACCAGCAGTAGCATTACTAACATATATGAATCTTATTCTACCGCAAGATCATATCCGTCCAGAATTTAAAGATTGGGATCATTTACGACCACGTATGAAATGGCCCTTCAAAGATGGAAAACATTCACCATTTCATAACAAATGGTTTACTGCCATTCATTATGATGGTATAGGTTATGAAACAACCGATGCCGAGTTTGCTCATGAATTTCACCATGGTCACGGAGACAAGCACTAGATTATAGAACAATAAACAATTCTTTTCATCTCCTTGTTTCTGCTCTCTTGTACTTTTCATCTATTAAACTTACCAAATGTCCTCTAGAATACCAATAAAACTGCGTCTATTTCTCCTTCGATATTCCCTACTTTTGATTGTTTCTTTTAGATGGAAACATCTATATTGGATTTACCTAATGAATTAATAGAAATGATTATTTTTTATATCATTGGTCAGCCGTGGAAAGATGATGTACATGATTTTCTTTCAGTTACATCAACTTGTCGAGATTTTCGACGATTTACTCAAGATGAAAGATATTGGCGTATAATGGCCTTACGTCGTGATCCAACATGTGAACAATCTTCAGACACAATAAAATGGTCTGACTATTGTAAAGAAAGTAAAGTTCAAAAACAAGGATAATATACAATTTTAACTTTTCCCTAAAAATTTAGTCTTTCATCAACGTACAATACCCAGTGATCAACTTAGAGAACATATAAGTCGATATAATGATAATTATTTTTGTACAATAGAAAAAGTTTCTATTTGGCCAAGCAAAATACGTGTACATATTGATGAACGTGGCGACTATTCTCTTGGTTAGTAAAATTGATAATTCTATTAACAAACGTTCTTGTTTGAAATCAACATAGCACTTCAATTCATTTGTCTTGTACATTAGATTTTTGTTTCTTGAATTAGCGTGATTATTTACAATCGATGAATGAACTTTATCATTGTCTAGGTACTATTCAAGATCCTGCACAGTCAATTATAGCACTTGTTGACACAAATTTTTCTACTTTTAATCGACCTATTGGTATTCGAACAAATCATAGTAGATTTTCGATTACCGACGAACGATCCGAATACGTTGGTAAGGAGAAACATTTTCTTTTTTGAAAGTTTCATATTGTAATTACATTAGGCTATTTGGATTTTCCGTACAATATTTCACTGAATGCCATTGGAAAAAATCTCATATTTCAATATGGTATTTCTGGCTATACAAATACAATACTTTTTCATATTGATCGAACATTTATTCGCAAATATAATCTCGTACCTTTATTTAAAAAATTCAAAAAAGTTCCAAGACAACCTATTTTATTAAGAACAAAGAGTGTTTAAAACACACCAATAATATTTATTATTTTTTAATACAAATATTTTGATAACATGTAGTTTTTATTTCATGAAGTAAGACAAAAAAAATACAATGTTCTCAGCCTTTGCTTTTCATTCGTATCTTTTCTATAGTAGAATTGTTCTCATTCTTTTTTTCACGATTTCTAATCATTTCTCATCTCGTTATGGTCACCTAGTGATATATAATGAGATAAGCGTTTTGACCGCTCTATCTTTATCCTCTTCTATGTGATCTTGAATTAGTATAAGAAGGCAGCTTCATTCTCTTTTTTGTTTCCATCCACGCTTGGAAACACTATGCGTGTAGGTGTTTATTTACTCAGACCATAGTTACTCTCAAAGACATGAATAAAAGCGTGTGCTTGTCCGCGTATACATCAACAGAGAGACATCAGTTTTTTTTCGTTCGTTTCCTTCATTTTACAATTCGTTGTTTTTCTATTTTCATAGATTAAAAATCAATATTGTTTTCTAATGTCTAATTTACTTTACTTTTCATGAGAAACTGTAAAACAAAACCATATAGATCAGCTGATTGAAAATAAAATAATATTAAAATAGTTGCATCATCGTCATGATTGTGCAATTTATATGGCTCTAACTGTCATAAGAGTATTTTTATTTTTATTTGATTTTTTCCTTTTAGATTATGCTAGGCTCTACACAGAAAAGCTTTTCGAACAACCGTTCTTTCGTTTTGTCGTCCGTCAAGAGTCGCAGAAAAACGCGCTCTTCATATATTCTTTCTCGTCAACTTTTCTCCGTTACTTTATCAAACAATACTTCAAATAACAAACAATTTCTTGCTATTTCAAATACCTGTCCAATTGGGCAATTATTATCAAACATGAATGAAAAACAAACTTATTTATACAACTAGCAAAATTAACGAACAAAGCACAAGTTTCATAAGACAAAGCAAAACACATACATCATATATATCTACAAAAAATTTCTGTTTCATTTTATTTTTTATTATCTGAATATCATTCCAAAGGAAGAAAAACAACATGGCAACCAATGATGATCTTGATGATTTCTTTAAAAAGAAAGATCGAAAGGGTAACAAACATAAAAAGCCAGCTGGTTTATTAACCAATAATGAAGAACTACTCAAACAATTAGGTATGAAGAAAAGCATATGAAAAAAAACACACACCATCATTTTTTTTGCTTTCCTATAATCTAGTCATTGTTACATCGGCTACATCAGCATTTAAAGAAAATATGGATTTCGACGACGACGAAGAAGAAGAAGCGAGCGTTAATAATCAAAATCGTCGTCCAATTGTTGAAGAATCAAATGGTATTATTCATGATGGTAATCATACAGCTGTAAACAAAACTCAAACAAATTCAACATCAATTAATAAAACTAAAAATTCAACTAAATTAACCGTACAAGACAATCATAATAATATCAATGAACAACAACAACAACCTGCTAGTGGACAACAGGATGAATGGGAAGAATTTGAAAATTCAAATCCAAAATATGATAAATTACGTTTAAAATTTTCACGCGGTACTAATGATCAAATTCATTCGGATGAAGATAAAGATGATGATTATTATGATGATGATGGTCACAATACAAATAATCATGCTCTAAATACTAATGATAATACAAATAATATTGGTGATGATAACGATGAACAAGCGGCACGTAATAATCGACGTCGTGAGCAACTAAAAGATAAGCCTGTTTGGAAATTGGATCAAGTTAAACAAGCAGAACCAATACAAACAATTGAAGTAAATAATTCAACTGCTGATAAAGTTGCCGAATTACCACCATCGACATCAGCAACACCGAATGTTTATCGACCACCACAATTACGTGGCAATGCATCAGTTACTGTTGTTAGTGGCGTTAATCAGCGACCATCGAAAAAAGAAAAACCAAATTTAGCTTCAAATGAAGATTTTCCAACACTTGGAGCAGCTGTCAATAAGAAATAAACCATCGAACAGTCATCTTTATCTTGATATCACTTTTGCTTTATCCCTTTCATGCTTCAGTATTCGTGCATCTTTATTCATCGCTTTTTCCCTTCACCTTAGCGCCTCTCCCATCTTCCCTGCCACGTTTTTCTCGTTCTGCTTATTGTGTTTGTGGTCATCGTTGATATATTTTGTTCTGCTTTTCTCTTCGCTTTTTCTCGTTCGCTTACTTTTGATTTTTCATTTGTCTGTTTTCTCTGTCTCTATTTCATTTATTTCTCTCATTCCCTTTTTCTTTTTTGTTGTCCTTTAGATTCCTATGCTCTGCTTTCGTTCTGTTTTTTTTCGTTATACAAGAAGAAAAGAAAATCTTGTCTCTCTAAGTTCGGTTGTAGAAAAAACAAAAATACATTACTAAAACATTTACTAGAGGTATTTTATTTGTTTTGTTGATCTAATGATGACAATTCATTCATAACTTCAAATTAAAAGAGAAAGAAAAACATTTCTCAAGTCAAGATATTTATCACGTTGATAAAAGATAACAATAACAAACGTTGTTATTGCTTTCGTTTTTCTTCTATCCAAACAAGACTGAAAAAAAGATGCACTTGCATTTCATGATATTTATATGTATGATCAACTGTAAGTTTTATATGGATAATCTTGACCAAGAGAACATGTCTGAATGAAGATTAGATATGAATGACCGGATTTATCAGTATGAGTAATGCTTGAAATACCGAGTTCTTTAGTAATTGCGAAATAATAGTCTCCCGACAAGCAATTTATTGAAGTTATCAAAGTATACCATTTGACATTCATTAAATAAACAACAGTTGTAGCTATGAATTTTTGAGTTTTGTTGAAAATAGATTCATACAAAAAATCATGAATAGTATGATTATAAAATGTTAAGATTGAATCGAATCATACTTCAGTTAGAATTCAATAGCCACTCAATAAGATACAAAGTACTTTTGCTAAACTGGAAATCTCGAATAAGATTTTCTCATTTTGGTTTTTATTCAGTGCAATGATTTTTCAAGATATTCAAACTTTAGTAAAGTATTTTTCTGTTTAAATCTCTTCAAAATTGAAATAGTTTTAAAATTGAACTTTTAACTAAGCTAACTGGAATATTATTTTTATTCAGGTTTCTTCGTATGCGCTGATTCCGATAAATTTTCACTAATTGATACTTCTGCACTACCAAGCTCCGATGAATCTACTGTTTCAATATTAGAATCAACCAGTAGTTTTTCTTCAATAGAATCATCATCATCATCATCATCATCACAATCTAGCCATAGTAGTAGTAGTAGTCGTAGTAGTACAACTGCTCGTCCATATTATCCTGATACATATAGCCCAGGTTCAACTGCTGGAATTATCGTCGCGTCAATCATATTCATTATTGTGATTTCAATCAGTGCACTTTGTATTCGTCGTCAACGCGTTCATTATTTACCATATTATAACGATTATCAGCCAGTTTAAATTTATTTTTATGGAATAGATTATTTCAAGCAGAATATTTTTCTTTTGAGAGTTTTTCTTGCAGTTAAATAATATTTTGACTGTAAATATAACCAATATATGTTTTAATTAAAAGCTTCTAGTGTAAATAATTCTAGTCTAAATACAGGAATTTTCATAAAGAAAGACGAAGAGTCGATTGACTAGAAAACTCCCTACTTTAAATCTTGTTTCTTTTGCGTTCTCTCCCCTTTTTCTTTCTGTCTTCTGCAATTCACGAATATTTTGAAGTTGCACGGCATTCAAAACAGAGACACTTTTATTTTTCAATCAATTCTAACTTGGTCGACTACGACAAAGAAAAAAGAGATCGTCTGGCATATGTCATTGATTCTGTTTCCAATACAATTTTTATTGTTAACCGTATTATTTATACAACCCATCACATATTCTCAACCGACGAATTTACGAAATCTCGAACTTACTGATATCACATCACTCTGGAATCAATTTCCATCTATTGTAAACAAGATCGATGAGACTGGTAGGTTATTTAGATATAATATCGGAAAAACTATCCAATGACAACAACATATTCTTCTTTTTGTGAAACACGATCTGAAAGGAGTGCTGAAGTATATAGAGTAGAAATTCGGATCCTCGCCAGATCGTTACAGACAAAGTAATTAATTATTTAATTTCTCGGTAGCTGTCTGCGATGCTCTCCAGCGATGTCATACATCGTAATACAGACCGTGGTAGATGGATTCCAGCAGAGGAGTTTCATCTTGTTTTTCATTTTAAATCCACAGGGATTGCGCTACCCAAGCAGACAAAAATTTTCAACACTCGTGTAAACGCACCAAACAGGACAAAAAATCGAAAAAAGTGGACTTGTTTCGATGTCAGTCGGGGTTTTCGATTGTGAGTGAAAAACGCCCACTTTTCACGCTTCTTGAACGCTTGAGCGTGCTTTCAGCCAAAAAACGCATCTAAATGCAAAGAAAAAAAAGAGAAAAAGTGGCCGTGTTTTTCATACTCGAGAATCCTTGTTATGATCTCATCATGGACAACGACCATGAGACAAACGACCACTTTTTCTCCTTTTTTTCTTTGCATTTAGATTCGTTTTTCGCTCATGGTAGGGAACCCTGCCTGTCATCCAAACAAGTCCATTTTTTTCGATTTTTGGCTCTATTTGATGCGTTTAAACGCGTGTTTGAAAAATATTGTCTGCTTGGGTAGCAGCTTTTGTTAAAATAGAATAAAAAAACCCTTTTTGCATTTTTGCAGTTATGCTCGACAAGCAAACTTAGTTAAGGAGTAGAAAGAAGCCCTTTAATTTAGCTAAGAAGACTGATTTATTCGCATGGAGTGTATATTCATTTGTTGATAGATTATAAAAACAGTCATAATTCTCGAGAGGACTAAACCTAATGTAATCAGCATTTTATTGGCATGTTTTCTTCTGAAATTGCTGTGATTTAAAACGATAGGGCAATAAATGTCTATTGTTAGCAACAGAGAAATATTTCACACAATAAAATAACCAAAAATGATGAACGTAGTAGCATGATTTTTGAAGAGATCTTGTCTAACCCAATGCTAGACAAGCCATTTGATTTACAAAATCACAAATAATAAACAGTATGAATGCGAGAGTGCATGAAGATTTCCTCTGTGATGGCTTATTGGTTAGTGTACAGACTGGAATAGTCATGCTGTGACAATCAAGTAAAGAGTATTGCTATGCTTTAGTTAATCGATTCCGTTGTGCAAAAGGATGGAAACGTGTAGGTGGTTCATGCTATTACCTTCCTGCATTCACATCGATATCCGCCACGGTTAACAAATCATGCCATGATGTTCATTTCAATCATTCACATCTGATAAAAATACAAAATACAGTTGAACTATTCTATGCTGCTCATGTTTTATTAAAAAATAACTTTTCGTCATTAATGTTATCTGTTGATCCAAAATTAATAAAACTTAAGAGAAGTATTTTTCTTGGAATGAATTTAAAAGGCATAGAAAAATTTTATTTCTTCAGACAAGGACCTTGCAGAAACGATACTGAACGATCAAGAACAATGGAAAGCAATGAAAGAAAAATTGCACGGAATACATAATAAATATGTTAATTTAACAAAAAGATTCGTCAATCGTTTACGATCAGTTGGCTTGTATATATTCAGAGGTTTCAAAACACCAAAAAGATACAAACTGAATAAAACAATGAAAGATGCCGATTTAATTATCGATAATGAAAATGAATATGAATTGAATGCTCTTGATTCATCGGGCGAAATTGATGAGTTCGAACAATTTCAAGATATTCATGATATTTGTCATCATGTTGTTTGGAATGCTTTAAGCGAAAATGCCACTATTTACATTCTTACGACATATACTTTGTTCGATAAAGTGGTTTGTTCATTAAGTGATATCGAGCCCTATACTGAACATCATCATATTTGTGAATATGGTTTGTTATTTTAATTTAGAAGTAAAATGCATTAGATATGTTTTCTCTTTGATCTACATAGTTCTTGATTATTGTTTTTCAAATATTGCTTGTGGTGAACATGGACATTGTGCTAATACATTGGCAGGTTTCAAATGTTCATGTTCATTTTTATATGGTGGTCTATTTTGTGATACATGTATGTAAACATAGAATAGGTTTTATCAATTTCTGCATCAAGCATAGCATACTATTTACTTGATGGGTTGAATAGGATAGCGATCGAAATTTTCATTAATATATTTCGATGAAACTATGATTGAATTTCAGACTTGTATTTAATTCATATATTCTGAGGATAAAATATTCGATGAAGATCTTCGTTGTTTACAAAGTGAATTGAAAACGAATTCAATTTTTCTCTTTAGGGTCAAAAGAAGGAAAACAAATCATGATTGGTGTTGGTTTCATTATAATTTTTTATACATTGTCGTGGATATCAACTAAACAATTTATAGCGTATGTCTTTAATCTGTGACCAAATAAAAAAAGGAATCATATGCAGAGCAGAATAAAAATGAAGAGATCTCGTACATCTCTTATCGTAACTGAAAGAATAGGATAACAGTTTAAGAAGTGGAGATGTTCCCATGTAATAAAAACCGCATGAAAATCGGCGGTTTTACCGGTCCGGTTACCGGCTCTCATTACCGCAGAACAGATAAATACCGCGGTTTACCACAAAAAATGAACTGGCATTTACCGCGGTAAACCGCCGATTTTGATAAATACCGCGGTTACCGCTAAAAAAAGCGGTTAACCGGTTCATCTATAATTTTTGACAGAAAAAGTCTTCCAAATCATCAATTAAACTATTTTAAAGATCCTTTTTTTTTACTTTTACATGTGATAAACATGCGCAAAAAACCGCCGGTTTACCGCGGTTTTACCGGTCCGGTTACCGGCTCCCATTACCACAGAACGGATAAATACCGCGGTTTACCGCAAAAATTGATTCGGTATTCGCAACATGGGTTAGAAGAGTCAGTTTTAGAAAAACGAGCACCCTAAAGATACTATTTCCTGTGTCCATGATGCATTGCTTTCCAATATAATTTATCTAATAGGCATTACAAAAAACAACAAAAATCAAACGAAAGGTAAATTGCATGAGATACACAAATTCAGAGTAAATAACTGTCACTTGTCTTTATAGATCAGCACAAGTAAATGACGTTAGAGAAAGCCAACCGTTGATAACTAGAAGTGCCCAGAAACAAGAATGTCATGAAATCTTTTTAAGGAATAGGTAACGGGATTTCTTTTCTGGAAAATACTTTTCTTGAATGCAATTATTCTGATATTGCAAAGATCTCAAGAAGAACCAATAATTTTTAACCGGCGTGATCTTGTTCGCGATATTTTGGTTGGTTTGATAAGTATATTCATTTTATCGGTTATATTTATTGTAATAACATCGAGATATTATACACTGTTCAAAATCAACTCAGCGAATGGTGAAAAGCTAGCAATCTCCATCAATACAACAATTCGTTTAGTGCAAACATGCCACTTTATCATAGACCATCACAGAGAAAATCTTGCGTTTTTTCCTGTTGCATTGGCTTTAATATTTAGTTTTTCTTGGTGCATCAAACGACAAAGAAGTTGTCTCAAGACGTGTGATGGCCGACCTGGTAAAATATGATTTATTTTCGTGTTCAATTAATAAAATCCTTTCTTTTTCGAAGGTTTGTTGTCACCGATTGCACCATTTTCTATAGAAAATCGTATTACATCAGCAACTGTTTTTGGAATTATTGTCTATCAACTATTGAAAATCTTTGAAGGACTTCTTTTTGATTTAGAACACAACTTTGATAATGGTGTACTCATGGAATTATTGCAACGATGTGCACTTATTTTTATGATCGGGTAAACTTAATTTAGAAGAAAAACATGTTTTTGTTTTTTATTTGACTTTTCTTCTCTTGTCTAGAGTTCGATATTATCCGGTGCTTGCTTCCCTTCAATTGAGAAATATTGTTGCTCGATTTCTCGTGTGCTTATATATACTCTGTGATATTATATATACAATTGTACGAGAAGGATCATGTATGGGCTTTCTACCACTAGGTGGCCAATATGCAGTTATTGAAGAAGCAAAACTTCGAACAGTATGTAAATTATTATTATTATAGATAGAGAAAAAAAGAATTTTTCGATTGATAAATGTTTGATGCATTCACATAAATGCTAGTTGATACCATGAACGTCTTTGATTATATATTTTCGTTGACTATAAAGGCCTCATTTTAGGAACTTGGCACATGGTTTATCATCTATGGTATAATTAAGAATACTCCACATTTCTTGTTCCTTTCATATATTGGTGCTGAATTATGTGTGCGTTTTGCATACGATTCAATCTATGTACCAGGAAAAAAGAAGGAATGTATTGGGTCGCCATCTAGTGAAAAATCCGATGAGCTGCAATTTGCAAAATATTACGTTAGAAAATTACTTTCCCGCAATCGCCGTTCTCTATCTCAAACAAAGCCGGAACAAACTAAGAATATTAATCGTTTAGATTCTCTGAAATCAACTATAGGAAAATATCTTGATTCTATCTACCATTGGGACGATGATTTTCGTTTTACAACAATTGCAGCTTGTACTTATACAGTAGCATTTACTTTTCTCTATTATTTGACATGTACATTTATTTTCGTGTATACATCACGATCAACAGGACATATTGAATCTATGAGATCTTACATAGAACGCTCAGTCAATGTTGGTAAGTAGTTTTGATATTCATAGAAATCTGTTGATCGATGAGTTTCATTTTTCAACTTATAGAATTAAAGAACCCATTCTCATTAAATAGGGAAATAATAATAAGTACTATAATCACTGCAATTTTATTTGCACTTCAATTATTCGTTGGAATGAAAAATTATAAAAGGCATAAACAACAATTATATAGAGGTGTATCAATTGAAATTCCGCCAGCAAATCGTTTCAAATGCGCTTCCATAGTATCGGATTCTGTACACTATTCTGGTTTTCTTGTTGGATATATGACATGGGGTTTCGTTATTTGTTTTCATTTAGTACTTTTCGTAGCGATTGGAGTACGACTAATGGCATTACACACTCCTGACACGGAATTAATACTGCCTATAATTGTACCTCTGGCTGTTATGTATCTATTAAAAATATTGTTCATGACATCCACGGGAAAAATTTTATTTATTGGAAACGGCCACAAAACTTATTATTTGAAAAATATCAGAGCTTATGCAATCTTTGTCTATTTTAGCTTTTTTGCTGGTAAGTTTCATCGATGAAAATCTAATCAAATATTCCATCGATTTTTTCGCAAAGATTCTTTTGCTGGTATTGCTTCATGTATTACTCGACTATTGAAAGCAACAGTGATTAATGCAATATTTATAGCTCGTATTGACTATTGTTTCACTGGACATCCATTTGTAAACCTCGGTAAGCATAAACGTTTATTATTCTCGGGCGAGATGACCGTTTTCTGTTTTCATTTTAAATCTAATTGTGAAAAATTGAACAGCAAAAAAAGACGTGTAAGATGTTTGCTTTGAGAAGATCAGCTTTCAAATATTTAAGATAACATAATGAACTCAATTAAGTGATTGAGAACCGATAAATGTAATATAATATGTTTGCTCAATAACCTTTCATTTTCTTTTCTCGCAAAATAAAATTGCTTCGCATCAATCGACTAGACAAAAAAAAAGCTGAAGTCAATTAATCTTTCTAATATCTCGTATCACATTTCAGATACTGGCTTTTCTACCTATGCCTCATACTTACATGTCGAAAAACAACATACACATCCAGTTCTGCTTGGTTAGTCGTTCTCTTTCTCAGAAGAAGTACCAAAGCAATTTTATTTTTTGTTCAGTTTTTTGTGATTTACTATGGAAATCAATTAAGAAATCGTCAACCGAAAACACAAAATCACGAAATTTATTAACTGTAGGATAAAAAGAAAATAATCATAGTCTCGTTTGCTCTATTTATTTATTATTTAGGTCCCTGATAGTGAAATAAGGACGGTACAAAGAAGTCCTATATCTGATGCTGAGATCGAATCAAATAAGAAAGATGATTCTTCTACTGTTCAGAAGCAAATATTACTTCCATTGACATCCGAAATAATTTCTGAAAATCAAGACGATAAACGACCGCAACAAATCGTAGTAGCCACTGAAAACAAACGACAAAGTTTGAAAATCATAAAGAAAAAATCACAGCAAAACAAAATTAATGGACACAATAACAATGATAGTTCAACACAAGCAAGAATTTACAAAAACAAAGAGTTGACAACAAACAATGGCAGAAAAGGTACTGATAAAACTTCTAATAATAACAAAATGATAATTCTACACAATGAAATAGGAGATAAACACCGTTATGAAACAATTGCAATGGAAGAACATGAAGACAACACCACGGCTGCTCGATTACCAACTGATAGTCGCACATCAAGAAACTCCTCTCAAAAATACTTTCGAACGATTTCATATAAGAAGGCTCTAGACGTTTCATCACCAATCGGAACAGAAGGATCCCAGGATTCCTCTCCAGCATGCAATCATTCAACAAGTCCATTATTAGAAACAATCAACACTGAACATCTTACATCTGAAGCCGAAAAAGAAAGAAAAAAACGAAAAAATCTAGCTCGCAACCGATGGCGTCTTGCTTATACAGTGATTTGTAATTATCATTTAATTCATCTGAAGAAAAAACTAACCATACCAGATATACCGAAGCCTTCACAACCAAATACACCAATCGATGAACAATTAAGCCGGCCACTATCTGAATCATTAGATACGGAAAACATTAAGTAAATTATCATGTTCTATTTGTTTGTATTTCATTCAGATTTGTTTCTCTGTGCAACTAGCGCCGGTGAACATCCTCCGAGCCCAGCTGAAACATACATTCTATTTTGCTTGCCAAATTTACTTATTAACCAAAGTCAACCTTCAAATTCAACGACAAGCACACCTCTTTCGCTAAAAGAAATCATCGATCCATTCCTATTTCGAGCTGTATCAAGTTCAGATGTGTCCACAGATGAAGATCCACCAACGAATGGCACAGTCGGCAATATATTGAAATTGCGTAAACCACTCACTCATGCTGAACATATGCAAGCATGGTATGAAAAGGAAATAGAAAAATTTCAAAACAAAAATCCGCGCAGTTATATCTATTCTTCAACATATAATTATAATAAGCGAAAATAATGCGAGCTCAGAACATCATCGAATCGGAATAATCATGAACAATGATCAAACTGAGCCGTATACAACGGCTTCATGACTTATCAAAACAAAAATTGAATCACATATATATATATATATATTTTTTTTTCTATCGAATTTGAACAACAATAAAAATATTCTTTATTCGAGATTTTCAATAAAAAAATAAAGACAACCAATTTATAGTTTTTGTCTAGTCACACTTCGAATTAACTTTAACATAGAATCAGTTCTTCCAAAGCGATGGCAAATAACCGTTAAATGATAAAAGTATATCAAGTATTCAATTATTCGCTTCGATGATAATCGATGAACCGTTAATCGACTGGAAAATTGTGCATAAATAAAAAAACTTGTCTTTAGTTTATCTTTGTCTAATTATTTAAAGAATATGATTTCTATTACGAATGAAATAATGTGTCCTATAATTCAAGAATATCGAATATATTTATATCATTTCGATTATTAGATTTGCAAACTAACCGAGTCGATTGTGACCTCATCGAATTGAAGTATTGAAATTTTAAGATATTTACAGCGTACTTTACATACTTATGCTCCCAGTACCTGAAAATAAAAAAAATGCTCTTTTTTTTCTTAAGATATTCTATTCACATTTTAAGTATATCTCAACTTACGTAATTCGAAAAGCTCGACCGAGCGATAATGGAAAGAAAAAAATAAATCCTGATGATATTTGAACTTTTAGCACGTCATGTAAACTATTCTGGCCTAGAAGTTCGAAAATCTTAGTTCATAATGACTATAAGCACCTTATACTTTGAGTTTTGTTAACATGCCGATAAGAAATTCACTCACATTCGAGTATGTTCAATGCTCTTGAATTACAATAGGAACTATTCCATTGTATGATTTGAATATAAATCATAGATCACTTGACAATGTAAAGAAGAGAGTTTCTTTTCTTTCAAATCACAATTATTTCAAAAGTTGTTTATCTAATAGTACAGCTCTCGCATTTACAATTGAGCAAATGAATATAAACATATCGTAATTGGCTAATGAAACTGTTAAGTAGATAAATAATGTGTATTAGAAATCTATTAGGTATTTAATTCAAAATAAAATCACTAAAAGCTATAATCAATTTGCAATGATTGACTTTCTTAATTGTAAATTAACTTCTTTTATGTTGATAACAAAAGAATTTGATCATCGTAGTTCAAACTGTCTGTCCTATTCTAAATATTTGATCTTTTTTTTTTTCGCTATTGTTCTGATTCTATCGATTGTTTCGTAAAATAGATTATATAACTTCTCTCTTTTTTTTTAAGCATCTATACATTCCATTAATCGATCATCATCAACAATAGTGAATGGGCAAAGCACACTGAAAATGGCCAGCTTGAACTAAGATTATTTTCTTCTTACACTGTCGCTTCCTATTGAGAAATCTGTTGTATTACACGTTTGATCTACATTTACAATAAATCATGTTGTACAATTGTGATATTTATTAATTGCAGATCGTTGATTGATATCAGTCATTTTTACTGAGAAAGAAATTAATCAGCTTTATGTTTATTCACGTTTTTTTTTCTCTGCTTATCGAATGGCACATTAAGTCTTCTATACAATAACCATTGTTGATTGATATATCACCAACGGTCAGAACGACAAGAAGTGCGGCACGCGTATATGAATAGATATATGTTCGTCTGTATGTGCAATATCATTGGTTTTGAACAAATGTATGCCTGAAGTGTATAGAAAAAGGAAAAGGAAAGGAGAAAAAAAGAGAAGATGAACTTACAACTACTATCAGCATTTGTCCATCGTCAAACTGGTCATATTTTGGCGTATTGTTCTCCTTCCTTCTTTTTTTTAGTACAACAAGCACAACGTTTTTCTATTACTTTTTCTCTTTTGCGTTCTTAGTTTATATGAACGTTAATAATGATCATTCAATTTTTTGTTTCTCTTTTTTACTCGCGACTGTTTTTTCTTCTCTTTCTGCTTTAGTCACTCTGTCGACACAATTCTGTTACTACACCAACATAGCATAAACTCAGCCGAGATATGTGTAAAAGAATCGTCTTCGTTCATGTGTTTTTTGCTTTGCATACAAATAAGAATTATTCAATTCGATAATCAAAATATTAATCAACTGCTTAAAACATTTTGTATTAATTTTTCATCGACAAGTTCGACAAAAATTAAAATTCAAGAAGATTGGTCGAACGCATGCTGGTTAAGATATTTTCTCTGACATGTTTATTTTTAATTAGCATTTTCACACAATCAACAACATGCGCTCTATCGAACAATTTGCAAAATCTCGAATACGATGATGTTATATCATTATGGGATAAATTTCCGAGCATCATCGACAAAATTAAAGAGACCGGTATGTTATTCGTATATATAATAAAAATGAAGTGCATTACAAGAAGCAAAGAAAAATTGAAACTCACACTTGATATCTTCAATAGACTAGAGAATATTTTCTTAATTTACATCGTAGTTGATTAAACGTCATTATGCACTAATTACTATTGAGATTATGTACATGATGATATATATTTCAAGAGATCGTATTCCTAGTCATGCAGTAGACTATGATACGAAAGGTATTAACAAAGATGCAAAAATTAACATATATATGAGCGAGTCTATTGTTTCTCTTCGATATCCTTTCCTTGACCTTTTACGACAAAAATTAATTTTATTTTTAATCATCAGTTAAAATTTAATACTCAAAAAATGATTGCTCCTAAAAAATAATATCGATTTTTTTCGGTAGTCAAAGAATCCCACTAAAACTAATTTGGGTTTACATTCTATTGACTTAAGATTCTATTCGAAAAAAAAGTATAACTTTTTGCTTTAGTTAACCGATTTCGTTGTCCGAAAGGATGGAAACGTCTCGGTGGTTCATGTTATTACCTTCCGGATTTAACAGCATTACCTACTACTGCTAATGGCACGTGTAATTATCTTCATTCGAATCTTTCAAATATTATACAAGTACGAAATGCAGTTGAATTATTCTATGTTGCGCACGTTTTAACAAGAAATGATTTATCCGCGTTGATGGTTTCTGTCGATACAAGTTTATTTAAAGGTGAGAGAAATAAAGTTTTTATTTATGTAACCGTAATAAAAAGAAAAGGCTATCATTTCAGCGATCAGTAGAATAAATGAATGATCAGTACATTATTTGTGTGGTCAGATATTAATATACTTCGATTTATTGATATATTTAAAAATCAGTAAATTAAATTAAAGGATCAGTATAAAAGTTGACTTGTGTTGTAAGGTGATTTACTTTCTTTTTATGTTTACTCTTTTGGTCTATATATCGTACAGCTGACAAGTGCAGCATATATAAATGTACTCTTAGCTTCTTTCTTTCACGTTCAGCTTAATATCAACGAGTAAAAATGATGGAAGCTGTACAAGTTGCTCAATATGGAAGCGATATATCAGACAAAGACGTTCTGGAAGGAAATGATAAAATAAATGGAAATCAAAGAATCCCAGAAAAGAGTGTGGGGTAGTGTAGATGAGCAGAAGAATCACTCCCACACCCAAATTTCTGTTTTACTAATCAAATACAATGTTTCGAAAAAAAATAGCATAAATTTTCTTCTGCATTCAAGGTAAAAATATTGCCGAAACATTAATGAATGATCAAGGTCGATGGGAACGAATGAAATCTCGATTTTATGAAGTACGTGTGAAATATAGAGCATTAAAACAGAAAATTGTCAATAGACTGAGTTCGACTGGTCTACGTATTTTAACACGTTCGAAAAAAATAAAACCACTACCAACAAAACCGATTCATGACGAAAATAATCTGAAGCAATATGATCAACAAACGAATAGTTCATTTTCAAATCACACAATTATACCGACTGATTTAATTATTATCAATGATGAAGGCGGCGACGACGATGAATATGAATATGATGATCTTGATTCATTAGATGAAAGTGATGAATTCGAACAAATTCAAGATATTCGTGGTATTTGTGATCAAATTGCCTGGAATGCTCTCGATGACAATTCAACAACGTTTATTCTTACAACCTATATTGTGTCAGATAAAATAATTTGTTCATTGAGTGACGTTGAACCTGATCATGAATATCCTATTCTCTGTGAATATGGTTTGTTATTTCTATTAGGAAAAAGTCTACTATAGAATGTTGTTTCTCTCATTTGTTTTTCAATTTTTAGTTCTTGATTTTTGTTTTGCAAATATTATCTGTGGTAAACATGGACATTGTGTTAATACATTAGCCGGATTCAAATGCTCGTGTTCATTTCTATACGGTGGTCTTATTTGTGATAAAAGTATGTCGTTCATTTCGAATTTTAACAATTATTAATATCTATAAGGAAAACCAATTTTTTGTTTTTCGTGTACTCAAAAAGTGAGTAGACTCTAGATTCGGTCAGTGCGTCCGCCCGTTAACACGATAACTCTTGAAAGCCTCATCCAATTGTCATGAAATTTTGTACACAGAATGATCTCATCAATATCTCAGTCAAGTTTGAAAATGAGAAGGATCCGTCAATAAATGGCTGCGTTATCGAAAAAATTGTCATTACTGCCCATACCATCCCGGCGGCGGGGGGGGGGTACAGGGATTTTTTTTCTCAGAATTATTCAAAACATATTTAAGTTGACTCAGTTTTTGCAGTACACATAACAATCGGATACGAATCCGATGTTTCCACATTTTTTTTTGTTTCCAGTCTCAGAGCACGGCCAACAAATTATAATTAGTTTTGTCATTATCGTGATTCTATCGGCATTATCATTAAAACCAATTCGTTGTATATTATGGTTTATGGTGAAATCATGTATTAAGTAAGTTAATTTTACAAAAAACTTTAGAGCAGCGCATAATGAATGATCACAATTTTGTCGAACTCACCCTGTTTTGTTCATAATTGATTTCTAATCATTTGAGCTTGATATAGAACTACATTACTTTCGTTTTCATACAAATCTTCTCACATCTTCTTTATAAATAATCACATACTTCTTTGAATAGATGTTGTAAAAAAGTTCGTCTTAGTTGCAATTCGACAAAAATGAAATTGAGTGATGATCGACAACAACTCGTATCCAGCGACAGGTAATTATTATTGAAATTTACCATTAAAATCAAAAAGAAAATTATGTTTCAAGATCAGACAACAATTTCAAATTAACCGAAGCATCTTATTTACAACAAACGAACGCATTGTTTAACCAACAAGAACGTCGTCAGACAATCGCTCAGGAAATTATAGCATTTCTGTAAGTTATTTATATCTAATTTGAAGCCAATATCTTTCTTTGTTTGAATATACTAGCCGAGACATGTATCAATGCATAACGTATGCAATATTAAATATTGATTCGATTATAAAATTTTTAACCACCATATATAATAAATTGCACTTGTCTAACACAATCCTAAACTCTAATGCTAATACTAATTATTTTCTAGAATAGTTTTTCCAAGATTGAAAACTTAATTAAAATTTTATTTTGTTTTAGTTTACCAAGAACTCCAAATCCTTTATTGAATCCAGTCAAACGTAATCTTGTTCGTAGTATTTGGGTTGGTTTCTTAAGTGTACTGCTCTTATCGCTCTTATTTGTAATAACAACATTAATGTATCTGAAGTCTTTTGTGTATTACACAACTGATGAAAAAGAAGGAGAATTGTCAATCAATGATACAATTCGTTTAGTAAAACAATGCGAAAGTATATCCGATTATCGACGAGGAAATTTAATATTTTCGCCATTTGCACTAACTTTAATACTTATTTTTTCTTGGTCAATTAAACGAGAGAAATGGGGTTTACATATGTGTGATGGTCGACCTGGTAAAATTTGATTTATGTTTATTTTCAAATAATGAGGTCAGTGTTCTTTTTGTAAGGTTTGTTGGCACCGATTGAACCCTTTCGAACAGGAAATCGTTTCACGACAGCAACTGTTTTTGGAATCATTGCCTATGAAGTGTTGAAAATCTTCGAAGAACTACTTCTTAGTACTGGTCAACCATTGCATCAAGGTGTACTCTATGAACTATTAGAAAGAATAGCAATAGTCATCCTTGTCGGGTAGGAGTATTTAACATAATCGAATCAATATTTTCTTCTTTTTCTTGTTTTACTTTAGACTTCGCTATTATCCGGTGCTTGCTTCCCTTCAATTGAGAAATATTGTTGCTCGATTTTTCGTGTGCTTATATATACTCTGTGATATTGTATATACAATTGTAAGAGAAGGATCATGTATGGGTTTTCTACCATTGGCAGGACAGTATACAGCTTTTGAAGAAGCAAAACTTCGAAAAGTAAGCAAATGAAATTTTCACGCCATCATTCAATGGAATGCTGTAACTGGAGTTAGCTAGGGGTGGCACTTTAACTTTACTTTAATCGTAAAGTTTAAAGTCGTCTTTAAACGCTTCTTTTTACTGTACTGGCGTATTTACTCATGCTTATATGAGACTGTCTGCAACAGATAAAACGCCAAAGAGAAGCACTTACGTGTGACTTTAAACAACTTTAAACTCGGCACTTTACAGTCAAAAATTATAGCTAAAGTACCATCCCTAAAGCTAGCAGTCTACGTGTAGACGGATATGAATCAGATTTGTTCAGAATGAAAGCTACCGACTATTTGATGCGATGAACATATCTGGAAATAAAGATATCAAATGGAACGCGTGCATACGAGCGATAAGAAAGACGTATTCATACACTGATTTTACCCTGGAATGTGATAGTTAAAATTTCTGCAATAACCTATTTTCTTCATGGCATGTTTAAATATAAAATGTCAAGTTGAACTTCGAAAATCAGTCTATCCGAGTTAAGCGACATGATTCCATCCCATGAACTCAACCCATTGGCAGTTGTATGATTGATATCGCTTTAAGTCAAGATTGATCTTAACTGAAAAATAAAAATTTTCTCACTTATTTAAATAGTTCAGATCTAGTTTCGTACTTTTCATTTAGGAGCTTGGTACATGGTTCATTATCTATGGTTTAATTAAGAATATTCCACATTTCTTTTTTCTCTCGTATATTGGGGCTGAGTTATGCGTGCGTTTTTTATACGATTCCATCTACGTACCAATAAAAAAGAATGAAAGCATTTGGTCAGCTCCGATTGCACAATTGGAAGAGTTAGAGTTTTCAAAATATTATGTAACAAAATTATTTCGACGAAATCGTCCTGTAGCTCGAAAAATTCATACACAAAATACAAATGTTGATAATCTTATTGACTACGAACATGAATCAGGCGAAAAAAATCAATTTTCTGAATCGCGTATAAAGAAATTTTTTGATGCGTTTTATTGTTGGGATGATGATTTTCGTTTTACAACCATTGCAACTTGTACTTATACAGTAGCCATTGTTTTTCTCTACTATTTGGCATGTACATTCGTTTTTCTCTATACTTCACGTACATCCGGGCATATCTCATTCATAAGATCTTACATTGAATATTCGGCGAATGTCGGTAAGTAGATTAAACGTTTACGAGAAACAACTTCTCTCTAATTAGCTTTTCTATTTAATTATATAGAAATCAATGATGCATTCACCTTGAAAGGTGAAATAATAGCGAGTGCGATTCTTACCGCCATTATATATGGACTGCAGTTATTTATTGGAATGCAAAATTATAAGAAACATAAACTACAATTGTACAAAGGCATATATGTTGATGTACCACCAGCAACAAATTTTAAACGAAGTTCTATAGCATCGAATTCTGTACATTATTCTGGTTTTCTGGTTGGATATATGGCGTGGGGCTTTGTCATCTGTTTTCATTTGATACTGGTAATATTGGTTGGCATAAGAATACTTACATTTCAAATTCGTCAAATTGAATTAGCATTGGCTATAATTGTACCTGTACTTCTTATCTACCTGTTAAAGATGCTTAGTATGACATCAGCAGGAAAATTTTTATTCATTCAAAAATTGGATAATAAACTTAATTTAAAAAGTCGAAAAACTTATGCAATCTTTGTGTATTTTAGTTTTTTTGCTGGTAAAGGTTGCTAGTAATTTCTTAACACAATATGCATTTTTTTTTTGATAAAGATTGTTTTCTTGGTATTGCTTCATGTATTATTCGATTGATTAAAGCAACATTTCTTAATGTAGTATTTATGGCTCGACTTGACTGGAGTTTTCTTGGACGACCATTAGAAAAATTCGGTAAGAGCTATTAAGTATATATTAACATGCGACTATCCATATAATCGTAGAAAAAAAAATATGATTGTAGTTTTGCTAGATGTACGAATAAATCAGGAGAACTAGATAACTATAAATCGCCTCAAGATTTTAGAATCAAAACATTTCTCTTGTCTATTCTACTCTGTTTTAGATCTTGGTTTTGCTGCTTATGTTTCGTATTTGCATATGGAAGTGACATATACAAATCCTGTAATGCTTGGTTAGTTTATTAAAATAAACACAGAATTGTATTTTACTATTTATTGTTCTATTTTTCTCAGCCTTTTGTTATTCGATTTATGATGATATGATACAAAAACGGCCGAAACATTGTTACGAAGATGAATGTTGTATTGCTCCAGCCGAACTTGATGATGACGATGAAATCGAAGCGCTGAGGCGCTATCACCCACAAAAGAATAGATCACAATTAACACAAAATCGGCCACCAGTTACCTACAGAGGGTTGGGACAGAAGGCAGATTCAATACAAGATAATATTGATTCGAATGGAGATGAACAAGCACCTAAACGACTATCAAAAAAAGAAACAAAATCACAAAGTTCATCCGCAGTAAGCAAAGCAAAAAATGGAATGGCAGTTTCATGATTCGATTTAATTTTTATCTCTTAGGTATCTTCGAAAGAAAATCAAAAAGAATTTCTTAAAAAACTCAATAAGAAGTCAAGTATTGACAATGTAGAACAGCATAGTCATACTTCGAGTGTTACTCAATCAAATTCTCAACATCTATCACGATTAATGGCCATTCCTCCAGTACCAGTTCGTGAGAATCTCATGATTAAACAAGAAAATGAGAGTGAAAACGATATTGATGATGATGAGGATGAGGATGAAAGAACATCAAAATCGAAATACAAAACGAAAGAAAACAAACAGAAAAAATCAGTAAAATCCGAAATTCGAGAAGATGAAGATACTGATCGATCTAAACAAACAAAAACAAAAAAATCATCACAAAAAATAAAGACGGAAGACGACGACGACAACGACGATGATGCATATGCTGGCACACCAAAAAAGCAACAAATTAGCAAAAAGAAAATTTCCAATAAATCGAAGAAAAACATTTCTAAATTAAGTAGTTCGAAAGAAGATGAAGATAGTGGACCTAGCGATACAAATCTGAATACAATCAAAAAGTTGGTTCCAACTAAACAATTTACAGTACACAATCCAATGGTAAAAGATGATTCATCATCCGATAACACTCTTGATAGTAATACACGCTCATCTGAGCGTCCGCCAAATACAACTTCAACATCATGTGATACTACCGCCAGTCGAAGTGCACCAAAAATATCTAATACTACTCAAACTCCTACAACTAAGAAACGTCCATTGAAATTTGATCCGTGCCCAGTTTTAACAGAAGATGTTGCTGTTCAAACAACTACGATCTATTCTCCACCGTCGTACAATTTAGCAGCAGGATCATTTGATTCGATTCTTTTACGAACGATTTCATATCGTGAAGCTCAACAGCGTACACCACCACTTACGCTACATCGACCACATTTATCTACTGTGGAACGTCATCATCAGAGTACACATGATGATTATGATAGTCATTATTCTGAAATAGCCAATGATACTGTTCGATCAACTGCTAGTAATCGTTCTTATTCGAAAATTGAATTATCTACTAATTCAACTCAGCAACAAAAACAAACTGAAGAAGATACGGATGTCGAAACAGACGAAGAAGAAGAAGAGGAGGAGGAGGAGGAGGAGGAGGAGGAAGAAGAAGAAGAAGAGCAGCAATCTACTCTTTTAAAATTAAAGCCAAGACCGTCACCTCAAAAATCAGCAGCTCCTTCAACAACAGATACTTCATTGAAATCAGAAAAAGATGAAGACGCTGAAATAGCTAGACGAAAAAAACGTTTACGTTTTCGTTGGCATTTTCTCTATACAATTATTAGAAATTACCATTTATTTGATTTAAGAAAAGAAATACAAGGTCGGCTTGCTTATTTACATTCACAAAATAGCACTATTATTGATGATCAACAACCCGTAACTACTACTGCAGGTGAAGAACCAGAAACAGTCAGATCTATACCAGAATCTGCGGCGACAGTACGAGCAATTGCAGGGTAAGTTCATTCAATTGTGTTCACAAATAAATCTATTTATTAGATAGAAAAGTTTCGATTTAATTATGAAATTACTATTCACATAATTTTGAATAAAGAAATATTGAATCGAATGTTTTTCAACAGAAAATCGATATTTTAATTTCGACTATTTTTTATCTTTAAGCGTCGAACCGTTGACATCAGATATACCCACACCGATGGAACGGCGATCTACACCAGCTCAACGTGGCCTATCTCTACCTCCGTCTGTATCCAGTGACTATCCACAAAGCCCAGCTGAAAGATACATTGCAAATCGTGCACGAATGCTATACGATGTAAATGCTGAACAGTTGAGTGCACCTCGCGGCACATCTCAATCACCCACCATAATCTCAGCCTATAATCAACAACAACAACAACAACAACAACAGCAACGTTATCAAATGGCTACTACTTTAAGTGATCAAAGTCTTGGCTTTCATACTTCGCCTCATGTTATTGTTCAGCCACCGTCGGAAAGTACTATGAAATCAAGCGAGAAAACAGTAAATAGTTATCCTATACGACCAAGACAGGAGCGCGGTCATCTCACACCATCACTATTTCAACCTGTATCTACTTCAAATCAATCGACAGCTGATTATCCACTTGCAGCTTCTTCAATTACAGCTTCTCCGACATTCTGTACACAAATGAGTCATGATCAACAAATGCACGCATGGCGTCAAGGTCAAGTCGAAAAAATCCAAAGACGACGACGACATTGTTACATTTATGGTACACCATCACAACAACCTATAATAGATAGAGCTTCGACTGCTGCTATTCTTACACCACAAATTTTGTCTACTACAGCAAGACAACAACAAGCTCCACCAACAGCGGGAGGCGGGGGAACTTCACGAAAGCCAACTCAGTCACCATTTCGATTTCCAGTTATACCAGATGATGTTCGTACTGCACCATCGTCCACTATCAGTGATATACAAGTAGAAACTAGTCATCGAAAGACAAAACGAAATCGTCGACAGAAAAAAGTTCCTATTCCACCTAAACGTATGGATCGTCTCGATGAAGATATGCGAGAAACATCTCATACACACAAATCATCAAAAGTAACATCAGCATTAATTCATCGAGGCGATGACCAGAGTAGTACGTCTGATGTTACAGAGGTTTAACGCTTTTTTGTTTTGTTACACTACATGAACTTGTTATTCATACAGATGCTGTTTTATTACCATTTTCAGGGTTTTTGCACATAAATTTAATATAAAAAGTATGGGAATAATGAGGCATGATTTTGAATACGTTGATTGCAGAAAATTTTGATTTGGTGACATAATAAGAAATATTACTAGAAATTCTAGACATTCTAAATTGTTGCCGATTCGAAATGGATGGGATCAAATTTTTTCAATCCCAGTAATTTTAATATTTCAATTGTCTGTCCTTGTTTAGGATCAAATTTCTTCGTCGCACATTTAAGATGCTCCGTTAATACTCGTATTTTCATTTCTTTATTACAAACTATGATTTAGGTCTGTTGCACTGTACTATGAACTGTGAGAGTCTCACTTTCTTCCGCTTGACGGAGCTGATTTTTCACATCGCTTCTGCTGATAGAGACTTGCATTCTTCAGTGAGTGAATGACCTACGCATATTTTGAAATGATTAGTTTTCAATGTCATTTCTTTATTCTACCAGAAAGTCATATATTTGTTTTCAAGGCAGGTAAGCATCGGACAAACAACCAAGTGATTCGCAGAAAAAAGTCAATAATACAAAAGCATGGCAAATACGATGAGTCTTAAAATCAGCATCAAATTACTTGATAAAAGAAAGCAGCGAGCAAAAAACGCATAAAAAAATAGTGAAATTACGATCAAAGTAAAAAAACGTTCGCCATGTAAAATAGAACAGAAAACACGCAAAGCGAAATTCAAGCGTCCCAACTACAGTTAGCTGGATTGTAGAATTAGAAAAATTGCCTAAAGAAAATTCTGAATAAAAAATTATCCAATTTGATTCTCACTATCAAAAATCTATCTGCATCGCAAAATTCACTATTATTATAAAATATTGTTTTCACGCTGTAAACTAACCGTATCTCTTAGCGCGAAGAATATTTTTGCTTCTTTCAGGATTAGAAAAAAGTTTGTTTCGAGTCAATTGACGTGACTGCAAAGCAAGTTACTTCTTTTCTCTTATTTTTTAATTTTATTCAAAAATAATTGACGATTTTTTCTATTCAAGTTTTGATTCAAATAAAAAAATATGTTTATAGCCAACACCCATACACCTTCAAGTCCATTGAAAAAGCCAAAAATCGATTGTAGAATCGTGGATGATGATTGAGATTTTTCGTTGATCATAAAATCTAAAAATGGTCCAAATATCCAAGTAATACCCAATGACATGCATAATGTAATCCATATCATTATTGAAATAGTCATGCGCTTTTGAGTTTTCTTTAACGTTTCGCGTTTCATCAAAAACTGCAATATACGAATAGTTATTCCAACAATAATTAATACATTTAAACCAATAAAAATCAGTATTGGTATCGAAACAAATCGGAAAATAAATGGCTTATGAAACCAACATACACCATCATATTGGTTAAATAAATTTGTCCACTGATGTTTCGCCACAACAATGATGACTGTGGGTATAAGAGCAAAAGCGATCGCAAGCAAAAAACTTCCATAAAACCATCCATTCGATATTGTTTTAAATTCAACGGAGATAAAATGAAAAAATATTGTTAAAAAATAGTCGATACCAAGTAAAGTTTTACTTGCAAATGTTAATATGAGAAAAAAATAAGTTGCAATAGCTAGATTTTCTGATAATGTGGAGCATCTATCTTCGACTATTGGTTTTGTACTTGATGATTGGTAACTATGAATAATAATAGTAGTTAATAATGTAAACAAAACTATTGAATTCGATAACGTAAATATATTTGCGATGGATATATGACGAAATGATTCTGCTTGTCGATTTATTGAAAGAATTATTGATATAGAAAAACATACTATTGAAACTATAGCTATAACAATAGCTGGTATGGAAGTATGAGACGTTGTCTGATGTGGAATGAATATTAATGCGAACGATGTTGCATGATTGCAAAAGCAAGAATGCCGATTTGAGTTGTAATCTGCAGAATGAGTACAACCGCTGTCATTCCATTTATGATGTTGCCAAAATACGCAGGAATACTTTCCGGATCGTTTTGTAGGAATAGATAACGTACCAATGAATGATATATTGATTGAACGTGGAACGTTGCTGGGCAAATGTATACCAACAATGGGCGAAACGATAATTATATTTTGATCCTTTTGTGCATAGAGAAAAAATGACGATGGAAGATCATAAAATATATAAATATGTGTTTCGGATAAGTTTTGAATTGATACCAGATCAACAGAGATGCTTGTTTCTACGATTCGAGAATAGGAATTGACCGGACGGTTTTTTGGCACACTTAGAATGCCAACGGAATTGAAACTAATATTTTGTAAGGTATCAATTGATTGAAGAAAATTTTCAATAAAACGAACAATGTTTTGAAAATTATTTTGTATAGTTTCAGTAACGGTTTGAACGGATATTTCACTTAAATGCGTATTGGAATAGTCGATTAGTTTAGCAAAATGATTGATGGCTGTTTGATCATCGGATTCATTGAGTGTTAATAACTGAAAGTAGAAAAAAACGTATTTCAAATGTCTAAAATTGAAAATATGATAAACATACTTTGTCATATATTTTCTCTGATATTGTTCCCAAGTCGGATATGTTCGATAGAAAATTCTAGAAAGACAAATTTCTAATGTTTGATAATTTAATCTTTTGCAAAGAAACGAAATCTTTGTATCTTAAGTTTTGAAAATTCATTCGTCGTCAAGTTATCACAAAATTAAGTAACCTACTATGAATATACAAGAGTTCTCGCGTCGTGTCGCAAGTCGACCTAACCAGCGTTCGGAGTATAAAAAAAATGGGTCCGTATTTTAAGCGGATCTCTAACGAACTTTGAAGAGTCTCGTGGAAGTCCTGCAACGAACAAGCAAGCCCAAGGTTCCTGTTTCGGAATGATTATTAAAATTTTAAGTTTTCTCAAAATTTATTTTCATGACAATATCGGTTAGAAAACTCGCAGGGAATATTTAATTTCGAACATACCGCATGAAAATGGTTTTGATTCTTAATGGAACATAAGCGTGGTTCACTACTTTCAAAATCGAATGATGATTGATTGTTACACTTTTGAGTATAAGTCAAATTATCTCCTGCGTGGCACATCCAATGTGAGAAATCGTTACCGGGCACAATGGATACAACATATTCTTGTAGATAATAGCGTTCACACGAACAATCCCAAAGAAGCGAATCACCATTAGCGTCATTCATTCTTCGGATAGTTTCCATTAGGAGTTTTGTTGAATTTGAATTGATTTCCGTACATCGATTGTACATTTCAAAGATATTATCATAAACTGCAATTTTAGTTCCCATATTCTTGAGAAGAATTTGTTCAGTAATGTTAGACTGATAATGTGAAAGATCAACTTCATCGACATTCGTAAAATGAGTGATTGGATTATTTGAAAAATTAACTAATTTTTTTATTTGTATTAACCATAATTCAAATGTTGTTAAACGATTTGAAGAAGCATCGAAATTTTCAATATTCCCAATGTTACTGAACATAGAATACGGTATAGAAGTTAAATTATTGTTTGATAAATTAATCGATTTAAGTGAAGGTAATTGAGAAATCCATTGAATAGGAACTTCACTAATAAAATTATTGCTCAAATCAAGACTTTCTAATTCAGATGAACACAATGGAGTAAAATTGAATGACGCAACACGAATTTGATTGTTAGATAAATTCAAATGCTAAATATAACGAAAAAGATAAAATACCTTTTTTTTTTCTTTGACTAATTTTTACTTTGAGTCCTTTCAAACGGCAAATATTTGCTGGAATCAATTCTAATGGTCCTCGAATACCCGTACCAATAACTTGTAAATTTATAATACGATCCAAAATCGAATCTCCAAGGCCATCAAAATCAAATTCGTCCATTCTTGAATTTTCACTACAGGAAAATACTATGCTTTCATCACTTACAATTCTATCACATGAAATACTATTTGCTTCTGTTGACGATTGCTCATTGGTTACAACTGAAATTAGATAAATATTAACTTTACTATGTCCTTTTGAGATATTTGACTTCTATTCGAAGAAGAATAGCATTGCAATTTTCAAAGAAAAAATAATGGCATGACTCGCATGGATTTTTCGTTGTAATACAATTTTCAGAAGCCAAGCTTATTTATCATTCGTAAAAAAATTGAGATTTATTTTCTCATGGAAAACGATGCGTAGGCTGAGAAGACAAAAATCTCGATAATACAGGTTAACAGTTATCGCAATAAATTCGATTTCAAACGAACAAAAACGATCATATTAAACTGTAGATTTACCCATCAAGATTGCAAATTTCGATCTACCCTTACGATCTACTGATCAATTGAAAAATATTTATCTGATGACTTCTACTATGTTAACAAATAGCTTATAGGAAGTTATTGGATTCTTCCAAATATTGACTTTAACTATTTTTATATAGTGACATGCACTCAAATGTTCAATAGTAACAAGCGAAAATAAAACAACACTCAATCTTACCAATGAGGCAACATATAATAAAAATCGACAATTGGCAAATATGCAGCATCATGTTAGTTCTGATGATGATAAAATAAATGATTTAAACTATGACTTCTCGTATTTCTAAATGACATGAGACCGATTTCCTGTCTCATTCTTTTATATTAAATCTTAAATCAAACTTATTAAGCTAAAAACCAAATAACGTCTCGATAATCACATGTTTCTCTCATTTTGTTTTTTTTACAGATGTATGTTTATTGAAAAACACGACGTAGTTCGTCTCGAAACGCACTTGACGTAGCTAAACAGACAAAAAAAGGAGTTGAACATGACAGATATTCGAGACAGTCAATAATAACTTCAGCCAATAGTATTGGACTTGATTTTGATGCTCCACGTTTTCGTAGATCTCGAATAATTTTATCATGTCGTTCCACAACTTTAAAGATTTTATATGGCGCTGTACTGAGAACGAATACAAATGATATACAGCCGAGTGCAAATGTTAAATGAAGACGACGTTTTGAACGATTCCTTATAACAGCTCTTGTTCGTATATTTGAATCTTGACTTTGTCCTTGTTTTTTATTTATTAATTTTGTTAATGTACTCCAACATTCAGTGCGTAAACGTAATACTTCTCGTAGAATTTTTGAATTAAAATACACAATAAGAAAAAATGGTATACATGTAATAAAAACAACATCGATTAATGATTGACCATAAGCCATGTACAATGCAAAAGATTTTGCCTCAATTTTAACTGAACATTTCACCGTATAATTCTTATTTGGAGCTGTATAGCCATATGCAGGTGCTAAAAATGAGGAATTTTTAAAAACAATGAGAAGGAATGCTATGAGTAATAAATAATAAATGTAATATTTTTTACGCCAATGCGAATAATATCTATGATGAACACAACATATGAAACGATCTGTTGTTAAACCTAATTGAATATAAGCTGACATATCCAAAAATGAATAGCGAATAAATTTATACCAGCGACATGTTAATGGTGTTGAATAAATTCGTTTGGGTGGTTCCAGATAAACTTTTAATAAGACATCAATTATAAATAAATATAATAGAATTAAATCATTAACACATAATAAACGTAGACATATTGATGATGTCCGTGTTAAACGTTTTTGAAATTTAGGTCGACAAAACACAAGAAAACAAAGGAAATTGCCAACTGTTGCTAGTGGTAAAATAATTAATGGAAATATACTATTCGTTACGCGAATAACGTCTTCCATGTGTTTGTCTGATGAAGATGATGATGAAAGTTTCATTCTTATTCGTGAACTAGTCGTTGGAGTAATGCCATTGATCATTAATGAGAAAAAGAAATCTAATTCTGATTAGATGTTAAACATGTTTTTTTTCCTCTTCTTTCTACTGCTTTCATTTCCTTTATTTACCCAATAATAAACAAAGATAGTAATATAGTACACCCTACTGTGATTTTGTGATTCACATTCTAATTAACAAATACATTTCCGAATTACAAGAAATAAAATGGAAATTTTCTTGTTAATTTTATATAGCTACACATAGCATAGTGTCTAGAATGTTCATTCAAATATGTTTGCTTTCGTAGGCATTTGTGTGTTGTTTTGTTTCTAAGCCTTTTTTTGCTTTGTTTTTATAACAACTACGATAATATTTGATCGATAGAGAGAGAGAAAAAAACTGAGTGGGAGGTGGATGGACGCATAAAATAGAAATAGTTCAATATTGATTGATCAAATGTATCACTTTGTATATTAATTTTATTGTACTAATAAAGAAAATAGAAGAACTATAACATTGTTTTAATTGTGCTCAACTAAATCATTTCGACAGAGCTAAAAAAAACATGCACCGAAGAAGAAGACACAATATGTTGTGTTAATGACAATCACGTTCATGTACCATTACGTCAAATCAACCAGTGATAATAAGTGAAGAAAAAGAAAATCGAGCATTATCATCATCATCATCATCTCATTATTTATGACATATATATATATATATATATTCGTATTCATAAGTGATAAAAATAAATAAGCATCATCATACAGGTCAGTTTAATACGGAGCCATAAACTAAAAAACACTAGAATTCTCATTTTTACGACGATTAATATTAATCACATAAACATTTCATGTCAACAGTAATGATCATAAAAAACGGATAACTACTTGCTATGTCTCTTTTAGAAAACAGTAATATATTGCTAATAAATACGAGGGAAACAAGCCGGGAGAACAGTATAATATCATTTATAAATATGTCCATGTCTTGTATCCTTGATTACTATTCGTTATAATGCTACGTTTTTGGGGGTTTGTTGTTCACATCAATATTCTCTTTCGTTTCATATCATTCAAAAGCGTATACTGATTCGACCTTCATCTTTCATTGTTCTATTTGTTAGAATAGATTTGTTGTAAACAATATTTCGTCTGTAATCGTGAATATATATCAATGAATCCTATATTCCATTGTAATTAGAATCAGAAAATTGGATAGACATATAGCACGATGTCGAAACAGTATTCAACATGGGCATCAAATCAATCTGTACCATCCGTGAGCACAGATACATTAACGATAAAGTTAATAGCTATGAAAGTCGATGAACAACACGCATGTAAATAGTTATTGATTTAAACGAAACCTTGGTTTATGAGAAAATTTATTTAGTAAAAACTATTAAAGAATTTCCAGCTGTCTCAAAAATGAATGTTAGCAATCACGCACAAACATCACCGGTAAGTGAATATTTCTTGATTCGTGTACACAAACGCTTTTGCTCTAACATATCTAATGCTCTAATATGAACAGATGACAATTAATAATCGAGCTTTACAAACCGTTATAATTTTGAAACAAAGACCGTGGTATTTTGCCGTAAGATTTTCAATTTTTCAACTTGTTTGATTGAGCAAAGTCTCAGTATTGACGTTCGATTATTCTAGGCACCCATTGATATTCTACCTTCATTATCAAACGAACAGAATTTTGTTGAACAATCCTCAAAAGACTCAGCATCAGCACTAAAACAAAACCTTAAATATAAACATCAACAGAGTAAAATACGTCATCTCCATCGGGAACGAAAAACTTGCGTAGAACAAAAACCAACAAATATTTATGCATCAAAAATTAAGATCATGAACTCGAAATATCTTGATCGAAATCAAAAAAAGGCAATTGTACGTTCTCGAGTGTCTAATAATACAGACCAACAAACACCTTTACCTATCCATCGTGATGAGGATGTTCAATCAGTATCACTAAATAAAAATCGAGAAAAAGTAACTTCTAAATTTAATGTTCTTTTCATCTAGCGATAATGTATTCAATAGAAAACAAGCCATGGAAATATTCCTTTGCAAACAATTGAAAACAAACTTGTATCTCAACGCAAAGCACTTAACAACGAAACTCAAGTTAGTAGTTATCCTTCAACGACCTGTGCTCAGTCAGCTCCATCAACTATTAATGCATGTTGTGCTCCAGCATCTCCACAGGTCTATTATGTCGATGACTGTTGTAGTCCGTCGACAATCAATTGTGGATCGAATAATTGTGTAAGAAAATTCAATTTTTTTTACGTTCAAACTAACGCTTTTTCCACAGATGGTTCAACAATGTGGATCAATTGTTTGTTGTCCTCAAGAACAAGAACAACAACAAATAATCATATGTAACAATTCAATGCCGTCGCAGAATTATTGTTGTTCATCGTCGAATAATAATTGTATTCAACAAGAATATATTTGTGTTGATAATACATCGAATTTGTCTTGTTGCAATCCTACAACAATAGGTTCGTGTAATCAAATTTATCTATGTGAGCCACAAAGACAAACGCCAGGAACTGCAAGTATTGTTCTTCAACAACAACCTCAACAGATACAAATTATTCAAAATTCACAACCGGCAACTGCACAATATCTTCAAATATCTTCAGCCTCTCCGCAAGTGATACAAACCGTTGAAAGACCCATCGGTCAAAATATTGGAGGTAAGAAGAGTTGATTAAAAACCTTCCCATTTGCTGATAGCCTTTTACTAGGATACTAACAACAAAACTCTTTTTCTTATTTAACGGTGATAGTAGGTAAGATTTTTTAATTTTAATTCTAGGTGGCCCACAAATTCTTTATCAACGTCCGTACGATGCTTTGGCCGCACCAGCTCAACAGAACCAATTTGTTACTGCAAACAATTCCAATCTAGCATTGAGTCAACCATCCTATGCACGAACACAACCAAACATGTTTCGTCATGCTCTTGTTCGCGTATGAATATCTATGGACTGAATAAATTTCACAAAAAAAAAGATAACTCTATATAATCCTAGACTGTTGCTAACAAAACAGGTTTACCATTACCAATACAATACATCGGTCGCGTTCCATTGACACAATCACCATCGAATAATCCAATGGGTGGAGTGCTACAGTCTAGTCCTGCAAGGTAAATTATTCATTTTTCTTTTTTCTTAATAGCTAGTATAGATCTCTGCTTGATCGTGCCTTTGTTGCTGAGCTAAGCATGAAAATTAACTATTCTCCTCTCTGATCCGTTCGAAATGAAGTTTCCTTCCGAGCTATTCTTTAAAAAAAAATATTTGATGATTGGTTACGAATCCAACAGATATCTCGTGTTTGTAGTCCTCTAATTACTGGTGCTTCGCAGGGATCGACATCCTTGCCAATCGTACCACTTACTCCAGGTGGTTTACTTATTCCATTTGAGCCAAATGAATCGTCACAAAGCATGATGCGTGGTGGACTTCCTCGAACGAGTCGTTATTTTGGAACTCAAACAAATGTCGATAGTATTCTACGACAGATACAACACCGTGCTAACCTTTTAGCTAATTGGCAACAACAAATAAATTCGAATCAGATATCATCGACTCCTGTGCGTTCTCGAAACACGACAAATCCCTCATTACCTGTATTTACATCAAATTTACCGCAATCACTATCTTCATCTACAATTAATTCACCACGTCTACCTTCTACATTTCCGTCGAACACCGTACTACCTCAACCGATAGTAAACAGATCACAAACTCCACTCAGAAATTCAAATATTTTTGGTTCATCCAGTAGTAGTAGTAATTCAAGTAAATCATTATCATCATCATCATCTCTAGCACGAAAAACACCGAATCGAACACCGTCAACAGCAGGTCTCTTTGTACAGCCGTCCTTCGCTAGTTCACGTGGCGAATCGATTATATCGAGACCGTCAGCTGTCTATCAATCGTTTCAACCCTGAATCTATATTTTGAAGGTATTATTTTTAGTTGAGCGCTAAATTATTCTTGACAAGGTCCCATCATTCTTGTGCTCAAGGATGTCTATACCGATGAATAGATTTTATTGCTTTGGCTGGCTGCCTGCCTATGCGTTTGTATATCTTTCTTTTTCTATTAATACGTCAATTCGAATTTGTTTTCGAAACAGTACTTTTACGTAATTTTGTTTCTCTCTTATTTAGAGGGCTTCGTGGGCCATTGAATCCAAATACGTGTTCAATCATGTGAAACAATATCAGGAAAAAAAGATAGACTACACAAGATATTTTTCTTTTCTTTTTTTTATTATAATCTCAATAAACATTTGTTTTGTTCGCTTCGATTTCTCTCGTTTTGCTGGGGAAAATTTTGATTTCTTTCTTTCTTTCTTTTTTTTTTTACAAAGAATCGATTTTACGTTTAAATTTAACTATACATGGTCCTTTAGGTCCAACAACAAGTGCCGAATAATCTGGTTCGGGATGTTCTTGACAAAGTTCAAAATCAAATTTTCTTAATAATATTGACCAAATTGTTTTCACTTGTAAATAAGCAAATTTCTCTCCTAAACAACTATGTCGGCCTCCACCAAATGCAATATAACTAAATTTTTCTTTTTGATCCTCAGGATTTTCACCTAAAAATCTTTCTGGATTGAATTCTTCGGGATTTTTATAAACATTCGATATTCGATGAGCAATGGGTGGTGATACAACAGCAATATCACCTTTCGATATAACATATCCATTATATAATATTGGTTCAATAACTTTTCTCATTAGCAATACTAATGGCGGATATAATCGTAATGTCTCTTGCATAGCTGCATGTAATAGATTCATTTCCGACAAAGAATCTAATGATAAATCTTGATGATATTTGTCCATAATTTGTTTTTGTTCTTCTAACAAGTTAGACATCCATTCCGATTTATTTTTTATTATCAATAATCCCATCCATGTACTCGTAATATTTGATGTATGTTGTCCAGCGAATAGAGCTGCTAATAGTAATCCAGTTACTTCATCGTCGGTTGGTGTTGAATCATCTAAATATCGTGCATTGATTAATACTTGTAAAAAATCATCGTATTCAATCGTTTCGTTGATTCGACGTTGTTTAATAACTTTTTCGAATATTTTTGCTATCTTACTTCGAGCAGCATTACGTTTTCTGTGTGCAGGTGTTGGAGCATTGGGAAAGAAAAATGATAGATGACTCATACCATCGGATAGCTGCTGATACAAATGGGCGAATTCTGTTTGAACATTTTCACGAATTTCTTTCCCTAAAAAACATCGGGAAGCAGTTAGAATAATTAATTGAGAAAATTCTTTCATTAAATCGATTTCTCCCGAGTCAGGCCATCGATTAAACCATTCTTCAGCTTCCATAACTATTTTACCGATGTGTGCTTTCATATTGATTAGGTTTAAACCTTTATTTACAAATTTTAATTGTTGTTGCATTATTTTTGGTGATGCATCATAGACAATATTTTTACCAAATACAGGTATGGTAAATGTATAAACTTCACGTTGTGATAGCTGATTATCTTTGGCTTCGAAAAAAACTTTATGTGCTTGTGGACCAATAAGAAATACGACAGATTGATGAAGTATTTGTATTCGAAAAATATCACCGAGAGAATTGTAACCATCTTGAATAAGTTCAAGTGGACCTTTATTAATAAAATCGTATCTACGGCGTAAGATTGATAACAATATAGGAAAACGAGGTGAAGCATTCGGTGACTTCGAAGCTGATATGTACCATATTAGAGTTAATATTATAAGAAGTATAATTAAAACAATACTACTAGTGGTTAATGTTGCAAGAGATAATGAAGATGATAGCATTTGTAGCATGTTTTTCTATTTTTTTTTTTTATAGATTTGACTTTGATTTATTTTTTATATCATATTCTAGTTAATGCATAATCGAGTATCGCAGATTGGTTTTTGGTCTTAATGTGCTTATCGTATGAAAAAGATATTTTTTTGTTATGTTCATACACAAATATATATTCAACAAATAATGTCCTTTGCGTCTTCTTCTTATCTTGTATATGTTTATTTAAGTCTTCTTGAGGTTCTATGAGGTCAGACAAAATATTGATGTTATCGTTAAGTCAACTTCATATTATATTCATATATTGCTAGTGATGACAGAAAGGTATCCAAAGTTATCACCAGTTCACCATGTGCTGCATGCATATATAGTACATCGTTCTGTTATAAAATTTCACCACTGAATTTTGAATGAGAAATGTTTTATGAAAGATGTTTGATTATTTCATGTGCTCTGATTAATTATTATAGATTTCATTTCGTTGTGCTCGCTAGCTTGAAGAAGACATGTATAAGAATAAAATAATTTGTTTTATGTGGTTTGTAATTCAATCTCATTTATAATAACAATGCTACTTTACTTTTCTTGTTCTCAATATATTTACACATAAGCTTATCGAATCAGACAGAATACCTGTCTAATCGCTTATAAACGCATAGCCTTTATTGTTAACTAGCGGCCAAACTTTATTTATCATAATGAGACAGTTGCGGTAGCATTTTCTTTCTCCTCCTCTTTCAATTTGCAAAATAACGCTCAAATTTCCCTTGAACATTAAGTTTACGCCTTCTATCAGAAACGTATTTTAAGTTTTGACGTATTTCGTTGATTTATTAGTCGTAGGCAACATTTCTATCTAGAAATTCAGAACTTATTAACATTTTTACCCTTTCTCGCGCTTAGTTGAGTGTACTCCACTATACATATGTGTGGCACTCTATCATGAAAATACAATTACATAAGACCGTTGGTTTGAACACCTACAGGTCGGTATCATACTAGGACTCAGCATAACTGATTACCTGTTGTTATACAGATGTTCACTAAAAGGTAATATTTAAGCGTAAAAGATTTTCTCATTAATTCATGCATGAAATATTTGTCAATCAACAACCAATACATGTAGCAGATGCTAGCTGTGTAATTAGTTAATAGAATTTTTTGTTACGGAAATTTTATTTTTGCTGATTATGAGAAAATTCAATGTAAAAATTGATATAAATCTGGCATTGAACAATTTTGAGAGTGACCATTTGAATCTATTCTGGAAATTTGCTTACAATGACAACATTCCATAATTAATTATTCAATAACTTTTCATTTTAAGATGGAGTTATCTTTTATTTTAAGAATAAATTTTACATAAAATCAGTTTTTAGTAGCTTGGATAACTATTTTTCTTTTCATAAACTTCTAATAAAATCGAAACTCGACTGGTTTGTCTGTGGTATGTCGTACGAGAATAAAGTATATTTTTACACTTTGTTTACCGAGGTAGAAGGTACGTACAGGCGTTCTTTTCTTATAGAAAACCTGTTCGAGTACATGCACCCAGGTCGAACAGTCCGACCAGAAAACAGCCGGTTCCGGGTAGTTTCGTTGATTTTGTGGAAGCAGTGTTCCGGTTGGAAAATTTTCGGATTTTTTCCGGCGATTTCCGATCAATTCCTGCAGGATATGGTGACTTTCCCGCATATTTCCTGGAGTATCCTACGGGATCCTGTGACCGGAATGTTTGACCTGGGCAAATAATTTTAGAGCAAGTATAGACAAGTTATATATCTTAGAATGGCACGTAAATATAAAAAAACCTATGATTCTACAAAACCAAAAACTCAATTGATTATAATTTTTAAATTTATTCTTCAATTATTAAGTGCCACCGGAAAAAGATTCTCACTAGTTATATCTGACTCAAAATAAATAAAATAGTTAAAATTAATTCAAACGAGGTCACCATCTACGTATTGCGTAGGCACATAACTTTTCAACTAAAAATAACTTTAAAACATAAATAAAGTAAGTGTACTTTATCGAATATGTTTATAGAAAAAAATATATAGAAGAATATATTTTTATTACGGTAGATGGGGTTGAATACTTGTCGTTAGAAGAACAGCTGCAGGGTTGATTTAGTACGAAAAATCGATTTTTCAATCTGACAATGTCATTCTTCGCCTAGAAATACACACAATTTGTTCGCAAACTTTCAACTTCAGCCGCGATTTCAAATTATCTTTTATGTTGCAGGTGTATTTACACTGCTGACAGAAAATTTCTTGCCATCGAGAAACAATTCGCATATTGTGATAGAATGAAAGTTTGATAATATTGGACAGCATCAAAAACAATATTCGAATCAAACATTTACTGGCGATGTGACTGATAAGAAAAGAAAAAGAAAACTGTCTCCTTGGTTAAAAGAGCGTTGTATTGAAGAATAAATTAGTTAGCTGTTTTTTTTTCTCAATCTTGTTTTGACACATGGGAATAAAGATAATTTGCATCAATAGTAATTTTATTTGAATGAGCGACTTCACTCGTTCGTCATTTAAAACAGAGCTATTACTTTTTATTCAATTGTGAAAAAGAACTTCTCGTACGAAGAAAAATTATTTTCTGTATAAACAGAAACATGAAACGTCAAGTGAAAGCATATATATATTATTACTCACGAGTCTTTTTGTTGGCTGGAAATAATCGACCAATAGCATTAAAGATCGATAGCATCTCCATGATTCATTAATTATTTTTCTGTCATTTGTTGTTGTTGTTTTTTCAGTCCTTTCATTCTAGTCTTGTCATTTCTTTTCATATTTGCAGTATCCTTTTGGCCTCTACCATCTGTTATTTTGCGTCGATCAGTATAAGGCCATAAAAAAAATTTATTTCGTTGGAAACAAAAAAAAATGACGAGCTTCTTTCGTGCACCATTTCAGTCAACGCCGTTTCAACAAGCTATTGAGAAAGCTACCGATGGCAATCAGCCAAGCGAAGATTGGGGTTTAATTATGAGAATTTGTGATCATGTTGTGATGCATGAAGACAGGTACTACCAGTTTTCAATTCATTTATAAAACAAATGCTATGTTGTTTATCTTAGTGCAAAAGAAGCAGTAAAAGTTATTCGTAAACGATTACAAATAAATCCGGTAACGAGTGGATGGCGTACTATTGGATTAACACTTACTGTATGTAATAAATAATTAATAAGATAAACTCGATAGAAAAACAAATACATTTATTTACTTTTAGTTGTTAGAAGCATTAACAAAAAATTGTGGAAAATTCTTTCATTTACAAATAGCACAAAAAGATTTTTTAAAAGACTTTCGTGGAGTGATTGCTCCTAAGAATAGTCCACCAGCGGCAATACAAGAGAAAGTTCTGGGCATGATTCAAGTAAAAAAAAAAGAAGCTTTAAAATATTTATTTAGATAACCATATGGATATTTTTCTGTAGATTTGGGCATTGGCTTTTCGTGATGATCCTGAATTGATCGCTGTTGGGCAATTCTATGAAGAATGTAAACAACAAGGATTAGAATTTCCACCAGCTGAACCAGAGAATATTATTAAAGCAGCAGTACCGGCTACAGTAAATATAAGAAACTATTTGAAGAAATTAATGTTAGATTTACTTTTTTCTCTCTCTAAATTTAGGGAACACTTGAACGTCCTGCACCAGTTGCTCGATCAATGGTAAGATAAAAATATCAATCTTTTGCTTAGGTTTGTCTTCTTCTTTAGTCTCAACCAGCTAGTGCTACGATGCCACGTCAAGTAATCAGATTATTAGATAGTATTTTTAGATACATGCTTTTCTTCGTTTAGGATCGATCGGCATCGGATACTTCTTCACATCAAACTATTCGCGAACCTGCTGTTTTAAGACAAATGACACCGGAGCAAATAGCTAAATTACGTAGTGAATTAGATGTTGTGCAAACTAATGTGCAAGTATTCGGCGAAATGTTAGTTATTTTACAACCGGCTGAAGAACATCCGCAAGATTTGGATTTATTATTGGTAAAAAAAATTCGATTTTTACGATTCTATATTAAGATAAGATCGATTATCGAGAAGAAATAGTTAGTTAGAAAACGAAAGAACATTTAGGTTTTAATTGTTAACTATATGAATGCTATTTTTATGATGTGCACATTGATAAGACTAGATAAATACGAGGAAGTAACCTTTGCAAAGAGTAAGCATTTGAGGCGAGTTTTGTATGACTTATTTGATATTAGAAATATGAGGAATGAAATCATTGAGTGCTCCGGTTTTCACTATTTCAGTAGGTTGCTATATCGAGTCATGACAAATATGAGCAATTTTTCACAAGAACTAAGGTCACATTATAGAAGAGATGAACAAGGTGTGTTCTCTTTGTGATCGAAACTAGCTTAATTTACTCTGAAATATCTTCTATCTACTGAACATACTCACTTTTCCGTTAAGAAATAAGTGTTTTTTTTTTGTTTGAACGAAAACCACTTCGCTTCTGAATCATAATCTATCAAATCGAAGGAAAACGCGCCGGAACCATTCATAATATTGAAATAAGTCTTGAAAGGAACAATTAATGCAAGTTTTCCTAATGCAATACTGATTTAAGGTTTATGTACAAATACGATGCACTATTAGGTTTTCTCGAAGTGACCAAAAATAAAAGTCTCTACTAAAAGTAACATACAATTTTTAGGGTATTCTCAGAGTTATCGCATTTGTCTTCAGAAGGACGAAACTAAGAACAAATATTTTGACAAGTGATGATTGAGAAAAAAAGGACGGGTTTTTTTCACCTTAGATATAACCAACAGGGAAGTATATTAGAGCCGCCTACAACTTTACTGATTGAGATCGATCAACGACTAAAAACATATTCAGACAATCGATCGTTTGAGATTATTCTCTTATGAAGCAAACGCATAGACTGAGATCCGATCCTTTCCTGTCATATTAGAATCATTAAAATTTTCCTCATGAATATGCAAACGAAGAGATAGAACTACCAATGGATAAATATTCTAGTATTAGATGTAACTGCAGATCATTTAGTTAGATTTCTTTGTTCAATATTCTCTTTTAAACTCTGCAAACATTTCTTTTTTATAGGAATTACATAAAACATGCATACAGATGCAAGCACGTATTATCGATTTACTTTCACAAGTTGCTATTGATGAGATCACTGGTAAATATGATTTAGGAAATAACAAATTCTTACTGTTAGTGTTTGAAATAGTCGATCTGTTACGTTATAACGATGAATTTAACAATGCATTAAAAACATTCGAAAGTTATATGCTAGAACGTGAACGACGAGCGGGTCCATCATCAATACCTATATTAAATCAAACGGCCACACCACTTCGAACTGGAGCGGCATTTTCTCAGTCACCACCAACGAAAGTAAATGCTGGAATTTTTTCTTAGAAGCTTTTTTTACTGATTTGTGTTGTTTTTGGCAGACATCAACCTCATCAAGTAATCAAGATAGTCAACCTGCATTAATCAAATTCGATGAAGATTCAACACCGTTACCAGCTACCTTACAAAACATGCGTTCGTATTTAGTGTTGCCTGTCGAAAGAAATTATATTTTATATTTTAGATATTAATCCAATCGCATTGGATGCGGCACCAAAAACTACTCCGACACAAGCAACGTAAGCTATTCCTATAGTAGATTTCTCATAACTTTCATGAATATTTTCTTCTTAAAGAAGACATATCAGTATTAATTCGTAAGCCTATATTAGCTACATGTTGTTAACCTATATGTCTTTTTGTATTCTATCGATGAAAAATTCTCGCTGCTGATTCGCACATATAAAAAATTGTTTTTTCGGACTTATTTTTTCATAGAAATTTCATTTTTATATTTATTTAGTGCTTCAGTAACAACTCGACCTGCTCCAAATAATCATGTATGAAAATAACTTTTAATCAACAGAAAAAAAAACTACTATGTTTTATGTTATTAGGATCATGAGCAGGATGCAAAAGAAGTTGAACAGTGGTTAAATATTTCAAATTCGACCAATACAGATAACAAAACTAACCAAGAAGGCGCTACAACACATGCATTCAATAATTTCTTGGAAAAGCGTGCTTCAACTATTCGCGATGAGCCGATATCTGAACACGAAGTAGTTGTTAATTTTCAAAATCCGTCAATAAATAGCGATTAAAATCAATCGAATGAATAAACATTCAGTGTAAATAACAGAAAACAAAACAACTATCTTTTTCTTTTTCGACTTCTATTCTCTCGCATTCTAATTAAACAGTGTTTTTGTTCTATTATGCATATTGTCATGATAAAAAATATTTTAAAACAAGCAAACAAACAAAAAACAAATATACTAGCTGGCAAAGAAACTTTTAGAATTTGGATATCTTATTATTTTTTCTCAGCCAGGCGCAACAACATACCTGCTCGTGCCTGTGCATTGTTTTATCTTACCTTGTTCTTTTACTTCTTTTGTTGCTTTAATCACAGCACACGCACGCACATAACATCATTTCTTTGTCTTTTTTTTTTGCTTTTATCAAAGGCGATACAGATAAGCAAGTAAGTGGTTGGAGCGTTGCTTCGTCTTTTTAGTGAAACAAACACACAAAACATCTTGAGTAGTAAAATTATATCTATTTTCATGTTTTTTTTCAATAGATTTTCTTTTCTAGAATGCCGGTTAAAATTTATCACGACGAAGATACTGATATAACCATTGTGCAGAGTAAAGTTGTAAGCTTTATTGGATACGGAAACCAAGGTCGCGCGCAAGCATTGAATTTACGTGATAGTGGCGTAAATAATATCGTCATCGGCAATATTGATGATGATTATGCTAAACAAGCACGTGAAGATGGATTCAGTCCAGTAAGCATTGAAGAAGCAACTCGTCAAGGTGATATTCTTATGTTACTTATTCCTGATGAAGATCAACAAACAGTTTGGAACGAGAAAATTCGTGGCAATATTAAACCAAATAGTACATTAGTTGTTGCAAGTGGATATAATGTTGCATTTAATTTACTGACTATACCTGATGACATGGATGTTGTTATGGTTGCACCGCGTATGATTGGTGCCGGTGTACGTGATCGTTATGTTCAGCACATTCCGTATCCATGTTTTGTATCCGTTGAAAAAGATCCTAGTGGCACAGCCTTAGCTACGTGTCTTTCAATTGCATCTGCTATTGGTGCCACGCGCGGTAACGGAGCTGTAGGCTCGTCATGTCGTGAAGAAGCCGGTATTGATTTATTTGCAGAGCAAGCCCTTTGGCCTGAAATTATGGCAGTATTTCGTGAAGGTTTTAATGTTTTACGTGAGGCAGGATTTTCCGAGGAAGCCATTTTATTTGATATGTATTTAAGTAAAGAACCGGCTGAAATTTTTGAACGCGCTGCTGATGAAGGCTTTGTTAAACAATTGAAATATCATTCACGAACAAGCCAATATGGCCAATTGTCAACAATGAATCGCCATGATGGAAAAGATATCCGCGAAAAATTCCATCATATTCTTCATGATAATATTCTATCGGGTAAATTTGCCGAGAAATGGTCAAATACAAAATGGGCTGCCGAAGAGCTCGCTAAAGAATGGAAAGAAGTTGAAAATGCGCCAATTGTTCAAGCTGATGAACGTGTACGAGACGTTATAAAACCGGACAGAAAAAAATAAAAATTGTATTTTTTTTTCAATAATTCAACCGCATTGTTGTGATTCTTAATTATTAAATCGATAGAAAAATATCGAAAGCAATAAAAACCAATTCGATTTCTAATGTATGTTTTAGATGGATACTGAGAATCTATTCTCGAAAGATAATATTGAACGAATCAGTCTTGGTCTAGGAATATCTATTTTTCTGCTGATTATTTTTCTTTTATATGGGTAGGTTATTTGACGATCGCAGTAAAACGTATATATTCCATTTTTTTGTTTTTCTTATTCTCATATAGAAAAATTCATGTTGTTTTCTTCGTACTTCTCTTGGTACTCAGCTATAAATTCACCGATTATTACACGTATGTAGAGAATTTGTGATTCATTTTGCTGAAGATTTTTCAATTAGATTAAAACTAAATAATCCTGAAAAATATTTTACGTGCTGGCCAAATTTAGCCGTCTTCTTTGATACAACGAAGGTATAGAAGTTTTTAAATTACCTCAAACAAATAACAATATATACCTATTTAGATTGTAAAAGAAGAAACTCTTCGAAAAAGACAGTAAGCATTTGTATTATTTTGTATTATATATTAACTTATATATATCAATTTTTCCCTATTTGTAGTGCAAACTGTGTTTATGTAAAAAAGAATCCTTGGGTTTATCTGATGGTTTCTAAACGACTTGATGGTGCCCTTAACAAAGTAATTGATTAGTTATTTTCTTTCATTTAATAGTATTAAATCGACTTTATCTTTTTTTGTAGTTTTGCGACCTTTGTCTTCGAGATCATATCTATCCATGGCTATCGTAAGTATTCATGATCATATCATTTAAAATCTGTGTAAAACAATTGTTTTTTTTGTTTCTAGAACGATTACTCACGATGATAGTCTGGTTCTTGAAGCTAAACATATTTTTCGATTTTTGTTAGGAACAGTTATTCGTCGTTTACATAACGTAAGATAATATTTATTCATATGTTCGAAATTTTCGAAAAACGTTTATTATACCGAAAATTTTCACATTTCTCTGAGGTTGTCAACTGAAAATATTTGTTTCAGGTTGATCTGAATGCTTTTATAACGGAACGATTTCTTCCACTAATCTTTCAAACCTGTGATCGTTATATTCATACCAAAGAAACTCATTCGTCCACTGATTCCATAGAATTCGTACGAAAAATGTATAAAAATGATCTTCATATCGTGATGCACAATCGTCAAAGTGAATTAAAATATTTAAAACGTCTTGTCATTAGTCTGATGCCACTAATAACGCCAAAATTTATTTATAATTGTAAAGGAACACGCCATTTTCTATGCGAATTACTTGTTTGCCAAATATTAATTGATGGTATTGATGCTGTTTGTCAACCGAATACCTTAAATCGTTTATTTCATCTTTATTTTACAAATGCTATTCAACGTCGACAAGGAAATTCAAAACCAAAACCGCCCACTGAATCGAATACTGCCGTTGAGATTCTTTCACATTTTTGTGCCGTGAATGGACCATTACATAAAAATAAATTAGCCATAGACTTCACTGATGTTATGTATGAAAAAGAATTAATGAGTAAATTTAGTATTGTACTCGATCGTATTGGTTCACTTGGCTTATTGAGTATTTACTTATCTTTGACAGATATTCTAAATGAAATTCCAATTGCAACAGATGTATTAGTACGGAGGAAAATATACGATCGTTTAAAACGTATCGACGAACGTTACTTAGATCCGGCGAAGCCTGACACGTATATTATAATTAGTAATCCATACAACGAACAAGATATACTTACAGATGAACTCAAACATTTTATATACCACAATTTAGAACCAAGCATTAGCGATGAAAATCAGTCGGATGCTGCCAAAAAATCATTTGATATACAACAAACATTTACATTATTATCGAAATTTCATTGTAAAATCTATGAATTAATCGAAGACAAATACCAAAGAAATTTCCTTTCAAGTGATGAACATTTTTTTAATATATGCGGTCAACAAATGGACTCACAAAACTATGGAAATATAAAACACAGGTATGTTGATATTTATTCGCGCTTGTATGTGGTGTTATTTTTCATTTTCATAAAAATCATCTTAGTTTCGAAGACATAACATCAGATTTTGTTCATATCGAAGAGATCAGGTTTGATTATTATTAGTTTTTAATAGAACGGAATGTGTTACCCTATTTATTTATCTACATATACATTGAACCTTTGCTTTTTGTTTAAAACTTCGTTATAATTTTGTTTTGATTTAATTCCTTGCTTTTGTACTTAGAAATACAATTGACAGTGCACAGCAACTCCCTAGATCAAGCTGTTATACAACAACTTCATACCAAGGTAAAAACCGAATATTTGACTTTCAAAAAAAAACGATTTACATAAAAGTTGAAACTAAAGAAGAAAATCAAACAATGAACCTCTAAGTATAATTACTTGCCGATTAAAATGTAAAATATTACACGCACGCTATGACTATTCGGCAAGCCTATTTTAATTAATCTTGCATGCGCTCTATACTAAATACAGGAAGAGTTGATCTTATCTAGACGACCACGACTTTTTATAGTTATATATAACACGTACATAAAATAACGTATTGTTACTAATTATGTATGCGTTTTAAATAGATATCGGTAAGATGAAGTCAAGATCGAAAGCTCATTCTATTCGTGTATAATCTTCGTATATCATCCTTTGTCTATTGAATAGGATGATAGAGAATTAGGTGTCGCTACTATGATTAACTCTACCATAATGTATCGAGGGAATGGCCAAAAATGTTTATTCCGACCAATAATTCATAATATTTTGGTTGGATTGATTATCGTCATACAATAATATTATTAGATGAAATTGATATTAAGGATAAATGTTGAAGATAAATATTGTCAGTTAGAATGACATGTTACCACTTGTACTTATTATCAAATACCAGCCGATAATATGTAAGCATATTATTTAGGCGTTTTGCATTTAAAAAGATGTTATTTTTCTTGCCTTCAGGCTCCTAGTAGAATAACATATGTTAATGTCATAAGTTGATAAGAATCTATCTTCTTTTAATAACATAGCTTAGTCAAAATGATGCACTAACCATTAAAAATAAATGACTTTTTAGCTCTGATAGAAGAAAAAAATTTAATACTGACAAATGATTTCTATTTTCAGAAATGGAAGAAAAAGACAAAACACATCTTAGATGTCCAGAAGATGTCCCAAGTATTTCCAGCAATAGTGTACGCTATTTTTATTATCATCTATGTTGATCTATTATATTGCACTTTAATTTAGTCATTGGATGAACGAGATTTGAGTACATGGCGTGTTCGTATAGATCATGTGCAAGAATTACGTGAAAGTTTAAATTCTAATTCAAAATATTCTGCATTTATCATCGATGTTCAACGATGTGATTCACAGAATGGTTCAGATTATATTTGCTTTTTTTCTCTCCAAATGTCATGGAATATTTTATTTTTAGATAATTCATCAGTGCACGATGAAGGCGGACCTCATTGGATTGTTGCAAGGTAAGCAAAACGAATTATATTACGTGAAATCTGCTTGTATGCTTTTTTTTATTACAATTTAGACGTTACCAAGATTTTTATTTATTAGAACAAAAACTGATAGAATTTCATGGAATTTTCAATGATGCCCGTTTACCATCTAGACGATCGGCACAGACGGCAAGAAGTCTTGAATTTCTTGAATCCGTGAAAACTGAATTCGAACATTTTTTACGAGTAATTTTTAAAAACTTCGTACGTAATAAATATACGATTGATGAATTTCGTTTAGCATTTATTAACGAAACCAACATTACGTAATAGTGAATTATTGTATAATTTTCTTACACAACCCGATGATTTTACTTTACCAAATGGTGAAATAATCTTAGCGAAAATGTTTAAAGTTGTACCACGTCGGTTACGTATAGAGGTATGGGCTGCAAATCGAGTTATTTGTATAAGATAGTGTTTTGATTGGTGTTTAGAAAGGACAATATCTCGAACCGTTTCTTATATCATTATTAAATTATGCTGAACCCGCTAAGTCAAAAACAACACAACCAACTCCTGTTTTCAGTGATATTATCGAAGAAAAGGTATGAATATTTTTATAGTTTTTTTTTTACGGTTTTTAATAATTTTTCTAATTAGCTTCAAAATTCTATTTATGGAAATAATGCAAATATTACTGAACCATTTTTCGAACCAATGATGGAAGAAACTCTAAATTCCAACGGTGGAGAACCTGATAGCACTTACGATCATTTAATTTTTATAGGCAAGTTATCTTGTTAGAATAATTCAAAAAGAAAAGTTTTACTGTTTTTATTTATAGTGAAAAAATTTTTCTCAGCGTCACCACTATTAGTTCATTTATTAAATTTATTTCGTGTACCATTAAAGAATACATTTGATACATTCATTTCACATATTCTTGAGCATAGAATCGATGAAATATTAAGTGACGACGAGAATATTATTGAAGTTATCCAAGCACTTCAAGGTATTTTATTTTAAATTAAAAGAGAAAACGAGAATTATTCATATAATATTTATTTTAGATACTATCTTTCCTCAAGATGCTGAGGAGAAAGAGTAAATGAAAGATTCGACTTCCTTTAAAGATAATCTGCTCTTCTATAATAATTTATATATTTAGATCAACTGATTTAGTGAATTTCGATGATGTTGTTGCAGTAGCTGAACAATTCATGCCAAGTATGAATATGATTATGTTTCTTTTTTTGGTTCGAAAACTTCTAGTTTAAAACGTTAAAAAAGAGTAACTTATTATAAAACAGTAATTGACAATAGGCTGATAAACTACTGAATTATCCTTGTTCATAGCATGGCCATGAGGGATTTCCTAACAATAGAGTTCACATCGTATACATACTAAGACAATGCTCATTACTATTTTTAGATGTGATCAAACGTATTTTCGGTGAATTAAATGTACAGAATGGTTTACAAACTATTTTACAACATTTTCAAGATCCATTACTGAACAAACAAGTGAGTAGACTGAAATTTTTCGAGAACGTTTTATTTTCATAAAATATATAATTATATATTTATTAGTTATTTTATACGATTCTCGATGAAATTCTCCATGTGCTTTTTCCTGAATTACAATCACATTCCGACACGCTAGAAACCAGTACGATTACAGCTTAGAATGATATTTTTAGACAGATATTCGTTGCGAATGGAAAAAGATTTTATATTGTCCTTCATCTGGCTTTTGTTTTTAACTTTTGTGACGAATGGCGACCGGTTATTTTATTTTCATTTTTATTGTAAATAATTATTTCAATAATCTCACCAATGTTTGTCGTTGTTTTCTTTTGTTTTTGTTTTTTTATAAGAAAATTCACAGAAAAAAGCAAATTTCATGTATCACTATTCTAGATAAGTGTTTTATTCAATTGAATGGTACACTTATTGTTCTCGATGAGTATGGTCATCTTGTATCTTATCAGTTCTGCAAATAGACAACGCTATGAAAAATTTTCCGATGCTACTCGGCTCGATTGTAGATAGTCGAAGAATAGATCAGTGTGAGATACAAAAATGCTTGTTGACAATTAACTATTTAATGTTTCAACTTATGAAATATGAGCACATCGTCAAGAAATTGAATTCGATCTGTTAAGTAAAAAGTGACATCTATACGACATGATGCTCTTGCTTGAATAATCAATATTATCTATGGAATTGAATAATGATTTTGCAGTTGAATTTTTGATTCAATTTACGACTGACTAAAATGTTGGTGATATTAAGAACTATCTTGAGGATATTCGTGTTGAGAACTTGTGATGCTTAATTTAAGTAAGTTTAAATGTTTTCAAATGGCATTCCAAGATCTGCATGAAAATTGAGCAAAAGTCCAAAGATATTGATTTCAATTTTTCAATTATTGACTTGAATTTTGGCATCCAGAACCGTCGGGTTACTAAAGGAATTCAATACTTGTATCTGATGTCCATTTTACGGTTGCATGAATAGTTTCCTTCTAGAACATATTTTCATAATATAGCCGAGCTAAGAATTAAACCAATTAGAATCTTATCTGCTGAATCGAACGTTTTATCGTGAAAAACAAATCGTTTTTTTGCTACCGAAACATTATTTTATTCTAATCTAATCATTGCATTGCTATTTTGAAATTATGCTTCGATTTTCACTAGCGTTTTCGTTAGAAAGCTGGGATTGTACAAAGCGATTGAATGAATACATTCATGTGAATTGGTGAACAACAGATTGTAAAAAAATGAATTATTTTTTTTTCTAGATACTCATTAGGCTCCATGAGATGGCATGTTCATTGTTTATAGCAAGTATTATAGTTTTCTTTTTTGTATCTTATACATACGGACAACAGTGTGAACAAACGTTGAATGCAGCTCGGTTCAATTGCTATCCTGAAAAGAATCCAACACAAGAAAAATGTCTTGCGCGAAATTGTTGTTGGCGATCGCCTAATCAAAGATTTAATTCGAGTGATTTTAGCGATGTGAATGTTCCGTTTTGTTATTATCCATCAGATTTTCCAAATTATGAAGTAATATCCAATGAACCGACAGATTTCGGCCAACGAATTCGAATATTTAAATCACAAATGACATATATGCCACATGATATTCTTAATCTAACAGTTGATTTTATCTATGAAACCGAACAACGACTTCGTATTCGAATCTATGATTCAGTATTTAAACGATACGAAGTTCCACTAAAAGTACCCGTTGTAGAAAAGAAAGCTGATCCAACTGACTATGAAATTGTAGTAAAATCAAAACCGTTTTCAATACTTGTTACTCGCAAATCAACTGGTATGATATTGTAAGTTTTCGCAAGTCTAGCAAAACTAGAATCCTATGAGAACATCTTTGGAAAGTATTCTGCATAAAAATAATCCGGCGATATGAAAAATGATCTTGTGAATATTTTGATCTTCAACTTTTCAATAATCATTATATTAACAATCGATTTTCTTTTTATTGGTAGGTTCGATTCCAGTGTATCACCGCTTATTTTTGCTGATCAATTCATTAAAATTTCCACTCGATTATCAAGTCCATTATTGTATGGTCTTGGCGAGCATCGGCAATCATTATTAATAAATATAACCGAAAACTGGCAAAGATTAACATTTTACACTCGTGATTTTCCACCGCTAGAAAACATTAATTTATATGGTGAATATTGTTTTTCTCTAAAAATCGATTTCCTTAAAAATGTAAAGCACACATAATGTATAGGCGTTCATCCATTTCATATCAATCTTGAAAGAACACCAGATAATCAAACGAAGGCTCATGGGCAATTTCTCCTTAACTCCAACGCCATGGATGTTGATCTTCAACCGTTGCCTGCTCTCACCTATACAACAATTGGTGGAATTATAGATTTATATATTTTAACTGGGCCAACTGCGCACAATGTAATTGAACAATATTGGGATGTGATTGGAGTGAGTAGATGAGAAAAAAATATTTGCAGCTCGTATCTACTAATTGTTTTTTAGAAACCGACGATGCCACCATTTTGGTCAATTGGGTTTCACCTTTGCCGCTGGGGATATAATAATACTGGGAATTTATTAGCAATGATTCAAGTAATGATTCGTAAATGATAAAATAAAAAGCTATGTCGCTCTTGTTCGTTATAGAGAATGCATGATGCTGAGTTTCCATACGATGTTCAATGGACTGATATTGATGCCATGTCATCTCATCTTGATTTCACATATGATAATAAAAACTTCAATGGTCTACCAGATCTTGTTCGTGGATTGCAATCGGATGGAAAACACTATGTGAATATTATCGATCCAGGTATCAGTTCAAGTCAACCCACTGGTACTTATTTTCCTTATGATGATGGAATAAAACGAGGTATTTTCATCAAGAAACTTGATTCTACTGATCCAATCTTAGGACAAGTAAGACTGACTTTAATAGACCTGATGGTAGTGATCGTTTAATTTCTTGTATTAAAAGGTTTGGCCTGGAATCACTGCATTTCCTGATTTTACAAATCCGGACACAGTCGAATGGTGGACAAATATAGCTGCAACTTTTCATGAAACAATTCCATTTGATGGAATGTGGATTGTAAGAATTATTTGTAATATATCTTACTCTTCAAATTAGTCTTCTCTGTAGGATATGAATGAACCGTCGAGTTTTATAGATGGATCAATTAATGGTTGTACAACTTACTATTTAGATAATCCACCATTTGTTCCACGTACTAAGTTTTTTTTCTTTTTGTATAGATTTACCTAAGTGTATGATATTAATATTTATAGATGTACTCGGTGATAGTCTTAATTCAAAATCGTTATGTCCATCTGCTCAACAATATCTTTCATCTCATTATAATCTGCATAATATGTATGGTTATTTTGAAGCACAAGCAACAAATCAGTAAAGATCTTTTTCTATTTTTAATCTAAGAAAAACAAAATCTTGTTGTAGAGCATTGAAAACTATTCGTAAACAGCGCCCATTTGTTTTGTCTCGTTCAACTTTCGCTGGTTCTGGCCAATTCACTGCACATTGGACTGGTGATAATCGCGCCACATTCAATGATATGTACTTTTCTATTCCAGGTACTACTTGAATAGTAGAACATGATAGGACAAATTTACATAAGATAATATTTGTTCGAATAATAAAATGGTTCATTGTTTAGCTATACTGAATTTCAATATGTTTGGCATAACGCATGTCGGTGCTGATATTTGTGGATTTGGACTTGATACAACTGAAGAATTATGTACAAGATGGATGCAGCTAGGTGCTTTTTATCCATTTATGAGAAATCATAATGATATTGGGCAACGGGTAAGATTTTCCTTTGAATATTTCACATATACTATTGATTACCCGTTAAAACTCAGGATCAAGATCCAGCCTCATTCTCATGGGAAGCTCAACAAATAATGAAGCAAGCATTATTTATGCGCTATTCGCTTATTCCATTTTGGTATACACTTCATCATCAAGCAACTATGGAATCAAGAACTATTTTACAACCACTCTTCTTCGAGTAGATAAACTTTGAATAATTTGACATAGCAGAAAGAACTTCATGTTTTTTCCTGCAGGTATATAAATGATGTAAATACGTATAATGTTGATGAACAATTCCTTCTCGGCCGTGCAATACTTGTTTCTCCAAATTTAATTTCTGTAAATAAATAAATTTCGAAAGGAAGTATAGTTCGTTTATTCTATTTTAGGGATCAGATAAGGTTCATGCTTATTTTCCAGCAGACATTTGGTATGAACTTTCATCGGGTGTTAAGCTACTTTCAATTGGGCAAGTTATTGTTTTGAATGCCCCAATTTCAAAACTTAATGTTCATGTTCGCGGTGGTTTTATTATTCCTATGCAAATTCCTGGCGCTAATTTAGTTCTCGGACGAGGAAATCCATTTACGTTACTTGTTGCTCAGTCACAATCGGGCGAGGCCAGTGGTAATCTTTTCTGGGATGATGGAGATTCACTAGGTTTGCTTCGAACGTTCTTCATATTCATAATTAGTTTTGCTTCTCCTCCATATAGATTCCGTTGAAACTCAAACATACAACTATTTTGAGTTTACTCTCACAACTCCGGTGAGTAAAAACCATTAGGAAAAAGTTAATGTTCTCTTTTTACTATCCGAATAAATTATATTTATAATAGAACACATTAACCGTCAATGCATTGATTACAAACTATAAAGAATCACCGATGCGTTTGGATCTTGTGAAAATTCTCGGAATAAACAAGCCTATTACAAGTGTCACTGTAAATGGAAAAGCCTATTCTGATTATCTTTACGATTTTCTTGATCAAGTAAGTAATTAAATTCATTTGGTGAAGAAAAAAATATATATTTTGGGATCTTATTCTGTTCAATTAGATTCTACTGATTCATAGTCTTAATATAGATATGTTAGCTCAATCTAGTCAAATTATTCAATGGTCAACTTCGCAGTGATAAGCAATCATTTATTGATTATTTTCCTTATATGTATGTGCTTTTATTTTACTCTAATTTTTTAGTTGTCTTTCAAACTATGATTAAATTATTTTTTTATTGATTTTTAAAAATATTTTGATCAAATCAATTTTTTAGGAGAACAAGTCTGTGATATCAAAAAAAAAAGAGAATGATATAATAAATATTTGTTTTGAACGGTTCATGACCGAAGTATTTTCTTTTTCTGAATTATGTCAACGAAAGATAACGCATGATGATTCACACCTTAGCCGATTCTAAAACTCATCGAGAAACTAATTAATATCCACAGCTTTTGTCTAGGATGTCAATGCTTCTTAAGACATTTGAAAAGAAACGAATTATATTCATACGGTTCAAAAATTCTAATGAGCAAAATGACTGACATTGTCACACGGATGAATTCATCTGGGAGTAGAATACAATACTGATTAAATTTGCCTGTTCAATTTGTACTGATAAATATGACATGCTCTTTCTTCTCGTATGACGATAAACTGAGTTCGTTTGTCTATTCCTTGCGATAGGCACATCTGCATATGTAAACAAGTTTTCAATAAGAAAAAAAAACAAAAGAATTAATTTTCTTTTTTCCATTGTAGATATTTTTAGTATTTAATCTAATGACATATTTATCCTTATTGATAAGTAGTACGATTGTTTTTCTCGTATGCTATTCAAATGCACAACAATGTGAGAAAAATTCAACTTTAGCTCGATTTGATTGCTATCCAGAAAAGGACCCATCGAAAGAGAAATGTCTGGCACGTAGCTGTTGTTGGCGGCTACCAATTGATATTGAGAAGCAGACGATCGACGGCGTTTTTGTTGATGTGCCTTTTTGCTATTATCCAAGAGATTTTCCAACCTATGAAGTAACATCCAATGAGCCAACAGATTTTGGTCAACGAATTCGTATACTTAAATCACAAAGAACATATATGCCAAATGATATTCTTGATTTAACAGCCGATATTATCTATGAAACTGAACAACGCCTTCGTATTCGAATCTATGATTCACTTCAACAACGATATGAAGTGCCACTAAAAGTACCCGTTGTAGAAAAGAAAGCTGATACAACGGATTATGAAGTTTCAATTAGTGAAAAACCATTTTCAATACTTGTCACAAGAAAATCAACCGGTGCTATATTGTAAGTTTACATCGTTTTCGAAACCACCACTCAGCTGAAGTAAGAGTTCATAGGAATTTATGGCTTCAGTTTATTTTATAAACTATTAGATGCCATTCGAGTTCTTACTTTTTATTTATTTGTTTCTCTCAGATTGGATACAAGTGTGTCACCACTTATATTTGCTGATCAATTTATCAAAATTTCCACACGACTATCAACTCCGTTGTTGTATGGTTTTGGTGAACATCAACAACCTTTGCTAATCAATGTTACAAGTGAATGGAAAAGATTGACTTTCTACACTAGAGATTTCCCACCGATGCAACATGTTAATCTTTATGGTTTGTAATCTTTCTTGTTTCTATCGTATTACATTCGAATAAGGTTTATTTTAGGCGTTCATCCATTTCATATCAATCTTGAAAAAACGCCAAGTAACCCGAATAATGTTCATGGCCAGTTTTTTCTTAATTCAAATGCTATGGATATTGATCTTCAACCGTTACCTGCTCTCACCTATACAACAATTGGTGGAATTATAGATTTATATATTTTAACTGGGCCAACTGTACAAAATGTAATTGAACAATATTGGGATGTGATTGGAGTGAGTAGATGAGAGAAATATTTGCGCATCATACCTATTGAATGTTTTTAGAAACCTATGATGCCACCATTTTGGTCACTTGGATTTCACCTGTGCCGCTGGGGATATAACAAGATCGAAAATATCATAGCATCTCTTCAAGTAAACTCTCTTCGAAATACCAAGCAATTTTTCATTGTTCAATTTATTGCTTTCAGAGAATGAAAAATGCTGAGTTTCCACTAGATGTTCAATGGACAGATATTGACACAATGTCGTCGTATCTTGATTTTACGTATGACGACGTTAATTTTCATGGCTTTCCACAACTTGTTCGTGCATTACAAGCTGAAGGTATGCATTATGTAAATATTATCGATCCGGGCATTAGTTCTACTGAAACACCTGGCTCCTATCTTCCGTACGACGATGGAGTTAAACGAGGTATATTTATGAAAAAATTTAATTCAACGGAATTGATCAAAGGAAAAGTAATAATTCGATTTTCTCTATAGTTTATATCAATTGTCACTATTCAATTTTTTATAGGTTTGGCCTGGAATCACTGCATTTCCTGACTTTACAAATCCGGACACAGTCGAATGGTGGACGGATATAGCGGCAGCTTATCATGACATAATTCCATTTGATGGAATGTGGATTGTAAGAATTATTTGTAATACTTTTATGTTCTTGAAAAAACTCTTGTTAAATAGGATATGAATGAGCCATCGAGTTTCGTAGATGGATCAATTGATGGATGTACTGATAATTCATTGGATAATCCGCCATTTGTTCCACGTATGTATTTCATTTCGTTTTTGCAAAAACACATAAAACGTCGATATTCATAGATGTTCACGGTGATGCTCTAAGTGCAAAGACTTTATGTCCATCTGCTCAACATAATCTATCCTCACATTATAATCTACATAGTATGTATGGTTATTTTGAAGCACAAGCAACAAATCAGTGAAGAGATTTTTCTATGTTTAATCTATGAAAAACAATAAAATTGCTTTTCTAGAGCATTGAAAACCATTCGAAAAAAACGACCCTTTGTTTTATCTCGTTCAACATTCGCTGGTTCTGGTCAATTCACTGCACATTGGACTGGTGATAACCAAGCGACATTTGATGATATGTACTTTTCCATTCCAGGTTTGTTGAATGTCCAAAATAGATTGAGTTCGGAAGACGAATTTCTCTTTTCTTTTTAGCTATCATTAATTTTAATATGTTTGGTATAACCCATGTCGGTGCTGATATTTGTGGTTTTCTCTTGGATACTACAGAAGAATTATGTACAAGATGGATGCAGCTAGGTGCTTTTTATCCATTTATGAGAAATCATAATTCTCTTGGTGAAAGAGTAAATTTTCTTTGAATATATTTCATCCTTATTTTAAACGAAAAATCAATAGGATCAAGATCCAGCCTCATTTTCATGGGAAGCTCAACAAATAATGAAGCAAGCCTTACTTATGCGCTATTCGCTTATTCCATTTTGGTATACACTCCATCATCAAGCAGCTATGGAATCAAGAACTATTGTACAATCGCTTTTTGCCGAGTATGAATGTTGTTCTATAATTAACATTTTTCACTATTTTGCTTCGTTATTCAGATATTTAGATGATGAAAATACTTTCAGTATTGATCAACAATTTTTAGTAGGTCGTGCTATTCTTGTTTCTCCAAATTTGTTGCCGGTAATAACTGTTAGGATTTTAGAGACATTGTACGCCTACATATTTGAATCTTTTCTATGATAAGGAATCCGATGTTGTTCATGCTTATATTCCGAAAGATGTTTGGTATGAATTTCCGTCGGGTGTTCAACTTAATTCAGTAGGACAATTTGTTGATTTGCATGCTCCGATAACGAAACTGAATGTTCACGTACGTGGTGGTTTTATTATTCCTATGCAAATACCTGGTGGTAATCTCGTCCTTGGACGTGGTAATCCATTTACACTATTGGCTGCTCAATCGGATTCGGGTACCGCAAGTGGAAACCTCTTTTGGGATGATGGCGATTCTATTGGTATTGTTGTTCAGTTTTTTCTCCTTCTTATTTATAAACATTCATATTCGCTTACTATCTAGATTCAATTGAAACTAAAACATACAATTATATGGAATTTTCTTTGACGAATTTCGTAAGTAATACAATGATCATTGAAAAGAGAGTGAATTCCTCTGATTTTTTAAATTGAAAATCTTCTTAACAATGTGATTTTCAATAACGATCTAAGAAATTCTCTTCCGATTCTCGAATATTAGATTGAGTAAATCTAATCGATAATTGATTAAATCAAAGTCATAATCTCTCCTGACAAGAACGATGTATTTGACGCTTGTATATTTGATTACTACGACAAAACCTAATATGAAGATGATTATGATTAGTTTCAACCAGAATCCGACAGAATTGTTATTTGATAATTTTAGAATAAATTGACAATTAATACCCTTGTCTCCAATTACAAAGAATCTGCAATGCGTTTGGACCTTATCAAAATTTTGGGAGTAAACAAATTTGTTACGAGTGTCACTGTCAATGGAAAAATTTATTCAAATTATCTTTACAATATTCCTGATCAAGTATTTATTAATTCGGCTATTTTTTCCCTAATGATTTTTTACTTTTCTTTCTTGTTTAAATAGATTTTACTGATTTATGCTCTTGATTTGGACATGTTAACTCAATCTAGTCAAACAATTCAATGGACAACTTCAACCTACTAGTATTAATTATTTTTAAAACAGAACTCAATGCTATTGTACCTTTTTTTCTTTGCTTTTTCTATCGTCTTTCAAAACCTGATTTGGCTTTAACTATTTAAATTCGTCTTTTTTAATTTTTTTTACAACACATTCAAACATATTATGATTGGACAATTAAATTTAAAATATGCCCATCACTAAAAGAAAATATCAATACAATAAAAAATAAAAAATAACTAAATAAATCCAATACGTTCGTTGTTTTCTATAATTAACAGCCGCATTGCATCTGTCGGAACCACATAAGCATAGCGAATCTGTCCGATGCTTTTTATGTTTGTAACAAGTTTCAGCTTTCTTTATTTGATATTGTAATACTTTATGACAATCACGTCGAACGAAACGTAATGCACTTATTTTATTATCGCCTGTTATGCTTTCGTTTTCACGTGTCCACATTTTTAAACAATAATCATCGCATAAACGAATTGGAATCTGTACTTGTGCAAAATTTCTTGCATCTTCACACGCTTGAATTTCTCGTGAATCACACACGAAACATTCGACTTGTTTGCGGCAGGAAGCTGAATCAGCATAAATTAAAAACATCGAACGACGACGATTATTTGAAAGAATTAATAAAACGATAAATTCCACAATAATTGCTATTTGCATGATAAATTTTTATTACGTGGATATAAATCATAGTAATATAAATAATAACGGCTTGTTCATCTAGAATAAAAATTAAAGATTAGTAGTAGGCAGAGTTGCAAATGATAAAGATGATAATCGTCTATCATGTTGAATGAAAGGCATTCTATGACAGGAAAAACAAATCATTTTTATCTTGTTTCCGGTGCGTGTAGCACATTTCTCTTGGCGACATGCTTTTTCATTTATTTTGAAATAGTAAACAAAAAAGAAGAGAAAAGAAATATATTTTCATCTGTCAATGAACCAAACAAAAAAATTTTTAATAATGTCGCTTAATAAATCTATGTTTGTCGTGTCCATTCAGAGAGTTAAGCGCATGTGAGAATTGAAATCAAAATGAAAAACGTGTATAGAGAAAAAAGAACAATGAGACACAATCGCTGTCATCGGTAGATTGTGTTCGTGTTCAATAGATCGCTCGAGTCGATCAAAATGATAGTCTATACATATTTTAAAGTTAGCGAGAAAAGAACCATAAAGAACGAAGAACTAGTAATGACAACAACATCAATGTGCGCGTGTGTCTGACACGAGAAGTAATATTGAAGTATCCGCGAGAAAAAAGAATCGAGTTTTCTCAGCAAACGAACAGCTTTTGCATGACGCCATGAAATAGAAGCGAGTAAACGAAGAAAAAGGAGAAGAAAGAAACGAAGAAGAAGAAGAAGAAGAAGATGATGATGATGATGATAAAGAAGGAGGCGAAGAAGTACTAGTAGTAGTAGTAGTGGAGGAGACAAAGCACACAGAAGTTATTGGAGTAGAGAAAGGAATTCCGGAAGAAAAAAAGCCGAGAATGTACGAATAGCGCGTCGAGCTCTAAAACGAGGCGACAGCATCGCGGTAGCCGTAGCTTGTTTCCTTTTGAATGCATGTGCATCCACCACAGATACACAACCTAATTCTAAGAAACGAGAGAGAGAGAGAGAGAGAGAGAGAGAAGATGAGATAGATTTGTCTTTACCCATGGTGTTGCGCTCGGAGTCTACTGATACTGCTGTGTGTGAATTCGTTATTCGTGCGTAGTACGCATCAAATGCCGTCGCATGACAAGATGCATGCTCAAAGCAAACATAAAATAAGTAATATGTGACAATTTTCATGAAAAAGCTCCCGCAGAGTCTTATAATGAAGTTGTCTGCGCTCTAAATATCATATTTCTTCTTAAACATCAAAGGAAAAAATATTCCGCATATTTGTCATAGATGTTGTTAATTGGTAGATTGACTTTTTCTTTTTTTTTGCCACATAATAAAACCTAAGTGTTTTTCGTCTGATATTTTTATCGCTTAAGGACAATCCTTTCATGTCAACAAAAGTTTTAATTGAGTAAGAATATGATAATTTAAATTTAAATTTTAGCCAACTTTTCTGTCTTTATTTTTTAAAATTCATTGAACATTAACTAAATGTCGTGCCGTGATTACTTTGACAATGAACAAACTGCAATATTTTTTTTTTATGAAATTATTTTAAATTAATGAAAAACATACTCGAGCCCAATAAACACGAAGTCATCTTGCTTGAAGTTATATTCATGCGAGAACTGGATCAAAAATCATAAGGACATAATAACACGTCTGTTCTGATTCTAAAGAGTGTATATGCTAATAATAATCTAGTAAGTAAAACAACAAGTTTCATGACAGCTGAGAAAATATTTCGCAGCTGTCATCCATTTCTTCCTCGCTACATTATAAATGATATGTATCTTCTTTTGACATAACTTTAATATGCATGCAGTCAACTACATAGCAATTTATGAAGCAAATACATAATAAAATGATCCTTAACTAACGACAGATTTTATCATTAAACTGAATACAACGATTACTATGTTGTGTGTTTTGCTTCATTTTCTTTGTATATGTATATATATATATTTTAGCGTAGACTCTGCTATGATTTGTTTATCGTATCTGTGTTTGCTACTAGTTTATTTTCTTTCACATTTCTGCTCGTTTTGCTTTATTCCATCAATACCATAATATTGTCAGAAACTTCCAGACACAAAGCCATGCGCTCATCTTCTAATGACATTTTTTCTCTGTAGATGCGTCGCTTGTATTGTGTAACAAATGAAAATTGGGATAGATATTTGCATTCTGTATGCGGAATTTTTCTTGGCAAATACGAGGGAAGTTTTCAACTAAAAATTAATCATTATCTCAGCGCTTTGTTGCGGAAACTTCATTTTGCAAATCACCAACAGAACATGTTGATTTAATAACAAAAGCAGGCTTAAAAAGTAGATTTATCAAACATAGCCAAGTCCTACATTAAGAATCATAGATTTAAAACAAAAAGAGGATTAAACGACAAATATAATAGATATTTATTTGGCTAAATAGCTACTAAATCAAGCATAGTATATCAATATTTCTTACTATAGAAACACAGACAAATATGATTTCACAAGAAGCAATTCTATTTCTATAATTTTTGTTTAATAATTAAAATTAAACTGATGCACAAATGAAATGAATTCAATACTTTTACGTGCATGCCGAGTTTTATTTGATTTAATGAAAGCTTGTCAGACTTCTAGAAGAAAATTTAACTAAACATAAAAGGGTATCCGACATTAAGTAGGCGTCAAATATGACATTGGATTTGACATCCGTAATATGATTCGGCATAAAGAAACTAGAATAATTAGCAAAAACAACTCCTCTAATGATCCCATTAACATATTAGTCTTTTGTATTTTATCTAGCTTCTATTCGATCGAAGTTTCAACCAAAAAAAGCATCCAACAGAAATACTCATTTGCTTTTCCGAGCAAATGTTAGCGAATAAATATCAAACACTGACTTACTTTTCTTACGCTACAGTCGTTATTTAGTGATTTTCGACAATGTCAAACATCGATCAGCTATTGCTAAAAAAAGAGAAATGCGCTTCTAACCTTTCTACACAAAAATTTCAAATTTTTCTTTAACGGACATGCTATTTATAGTTCTGCATGGTTGAAAGATTTTCTAAATAATGTGAGAAGCATATTAATTATTTAAGCAGTATTTTGTGACTTACTTTCCTCCAAACGGCGGTAGTACGCCTCATTGTTTTCCATATTCTAGTATTTTTTCTGGTAGATTAATATAAAATATATTGGTTCTTTTGTATTCATGATCTTTCATTACACTCATATTAATCTTATATTTTCTCATTTAATATTTAATATGTTCGTTCTGAGAAATAAAATAAAGAATGTGTGTGTGGGGGGGGGGGGGGGGGGNCCCCCCCCCCCCCCCCCCCCCCCCCCCCCCCCCCCCCCCCCCCCCCCCCCCCCCCCCCCCCCCCCCCCCCCCCCCCCCCCCCCCCCCTCTAGTGTTACTAATCGATGTTTTTTTAATTCATTTTACTATGTATCGGATCATACAATAAACTCTTAGCATTGGTCGCGAAGCAATTCTTTTGGTTATATTGATGTTCTTGAATGCTAGTTGATTTTATCAATAGGAACTTTTAAAGGATAGAAAATATACGGAAAAAAATCTAATCATTTCCTATTGACCAATACGAATCTGTCGAGATATACGATAAACAACATTGCTCTATGCAAAATATACTGCTTGAACGTATTAATTACATCAAAGCGTATTGTGTATTTATAAATTAAAACTTACTTGGGGGAAAATATTCAATATCAATAAAAATTGAAATAAATTGGTTTAAAGTTTGGCGTGAAATATTTTACGATGCAAAAAAGAAACATCGATTCATTGGCAAAATACATTAATATTGAAAAATATCTAATAGATTAGATAGTAAAGTGCATGGTTCACAAGAACTTTCACTTAACTAATTGTTCTATTTTGAAAGATGATAAAATTGTATATATTTATATGTAAAAATAGTTTAGGTGAAGATTACACGTGAAATATAGACTTCGCTAGAGACTAAATTGGTGTTACATCCACTTTTATTTATTCGTCGGCGGTGGCTGAAATGTTTTTTTCGATCCGAATGATTATTGCAAGGCGTACGTAGATCTTGAAGTTTTGTATCAAAAGTGGTCAATTGATATCTCATGGGAAATTACGAGTCATTGAGAGGAACAAAATTCTCCCATAACCATCAGATAGTTAAATAGGTGCATACAAAACCATAGGAAAAATAAAGGAAACTCCGTCGTTCTATTTTTGATATACGTATATAACCACTAGGATACTAACTAAAATCTTCTACTTTATTATTAGCTAGATATTCTCACTTTTTTAATGATTAGCATATCTTTGTCAACAGAATCATTTTTTCTGTCTAACAATTTTCGATCATCAATCAAAAGTATTCAAAAAACAAAATTAACCTGAAATTCCGACGGATGCTGCTCTGATAAAGAGCTAAGTAGCGATACCCAAACAAGTTTTCCTCTAGGGAACTGTAAATACCATATGTTTGCATTATTGCATACCGTGCAGTTTTGAACAGAACTTCCGGTAGTTCCATTTCAACTATGATTAAACGAATACTTGCTGAATTTAATGAACTTACAATTATAGGAATAGTCATTTTACGTCTCATTCATTTCAATTTTTCTGTACTTAAATAATGTTAACCACTAAGTCATTCATGATTCCACATACAACGTCTGCCGAGGGCAGTACTGCACTGTGAGAAAATCTCGCTACATATCATTTCGTCGACTTCTTTTAAGAGAGTTCAGATTTCACTGATTGTAACTATAAAGATTATTATTACTGGTGATAATTGTGGTCGATTCCATAAGAGCAGGTTTTATTAATTCAACATATTATTGTTTTAAGCCAATGCTTTATGGCCTGTAAGAATCGGAATATGCTTTTCTTTTGTTGCTTTATTTTGCCAATTTTCTAAATCAATATACTTATCCAACGCGACATAACATACTTACTGTAAAAACTAATTGAATATACACCAAAAATAAGACAAAACTAAACAAACAATATTCTAGGAAGCCCTGAAAATAATTAATGAATCCAATAAGATCGTATAACGTGCGGCGCTAAGGTTACAAAGGAATTGCACAAGGTCATATATGATATTGTGTGATCCCGAAAGATCACACAGTAAGCTTCTTTGTGATCCTGTCAAGATTATGCATGATCTTATTAATCTATTGTTCCATGTAAGTCACGTCTTCGACTCTAATGAGTATGTTGTTATATCCTTGTTGTGATGTGATTTCCATACGTGACAGAATTATTTTGCGAGCTATCAAAGAATAATTTTGAATCGTGTGTTTTTTTTTAAACGCAGATAATATTGCATGAAAGGGAAAAAACTATACTACTTCTTTGTGCTTACACAATTTCATCAGAAAGATTGATCCAGCTTCACTGAACTAAAAATCTAAGATTTAAATATTTATGCTGCATAAATACGTCATGTATGTAAAATCTTACATAATTATATACGAAAGCAAGAAATAATAAAATCTTGTTGACATTTTCAACCTATATGAGAATCTCCTGTGCTGATCAATCTTTCGTCGATACAAAAAAACGAGCCATGGCTTATTGTGATCTTCAATAAAAATGATGATTGGTCATTCAAATAGATGAAAGATTTTTAATTAAAAAGAAACGTCAAAATCTGTAAATAATAACATTTAATTTTCCCTGATTTGAGAATGGCTATGATAAATTTAGCGTTGAAAGAAAGTAATAGCTTGAATAATCATAAAGAACTAGATGACGGAAATGATGAAAGCATAAAATTGGTAAAGTAAATTTTTCTGATAGAAGACTATGTAATTGAATGGTTGGTATCCTATCAATTGGATTTCAGTCTGGCAAGCAAAAGTCATGGTAAATAAAACCGAAATATAGTCGAATAGATTAATATTTTCTTCTAAATAAAATAATCTTATCGATTTAATGCTTTAACTAGTTAATTTCTATTCCTACTGAGATATAGGAGCCGTGAAAATTTAACGAATGATTGTTCGAATAGACTCTTGTTTAGTCTGTGTGTAGATAAATATTTTCAAGTACATTTCTGTACTTCTGAAGTTCATAAAATACTTATCGTCCTAAAGATAAAAATATTGGGTATATTCATCGGTACAAAAGCATCTTTAAGAGAAGAATGATATTAAGTGTTTTAGTCCTGAATAATCGATTTTGTCCTTAGACGTGAAACTTGATCTTTTTCAGTCCCTCTCAAAACCTTTACATAAATTAATCACACGCACATTTACTCAAGTTCTTCAGTTTGATCTCAATTCTTGTACAACATGAAAACAACACGATTAGCGCTGAGATTGGACAAGATAAAATGATTCTTAGTATTTACAACATTGAAACGAATTAGTCTTGAAGGTTGAAATCGATTTTAAAATCCATTCGAAAGTATTTTTGGTCGGATTCCATGGTATAATTAATATTTCGGATTTTTTGCATGAATTCGTTAAAGAGACGAGCAATAAATTAGATGTCATATGTTGCCTGAAGTAGAGATCTTGTACGTTGAAATCTTGAGTTCATTTCTCTGAACGATTTAAAATTAAATATCGAAAACTCTCAAAATTTACAACAGAACTACTTGATTATTATACGAATTAACCATTTTTTTTTACTTTTTAAGCCAAAGATTTCATTCCATGGCTTCGCTCTAGCCGAGAACACCCATTACGCATTTCAAATACACTCAAATAGTAAGAGTTATTCAGAATTTAGAGTAGTGCTCTACATTAAATCGTTGAAAAGATTATGCAATTTTATTCTGACAACATCTAATTATCGATAAGACCATATACGAGGTGTCGTAACATTTTTCTGTCTTGAAACAACAGAATAAATAATACAAAAAGCATCTGTCTCATATTATGACAAGACAAAAAAAAGGAAGCAGAGAACAGCCTTCTATCAAAACAAAATAAATACTACATAGATATAAGTGTAATGATATTTGGGAATAATAGTAAACCGGAGAAAAGAATTATTTTTGCTAATGCATAACAAACAGCAGTAAAACAAATTTCAGAGTTCATGAACGCTGAGATAAAAGATAATTCATTAAAGTGAATTGCCACATTATCGTAAATTTCAAAGATTAGGATGAGCTTTTTCGACCAGCGATGCCGATTAATGCGCTGCTTATCTCAATAACAAGCTCGAATCCAGAGTTTTTTTTGTGGAAAAAACAGACAAGAAAAAGAGACAACCCACCAAATAAAATAAATTTATTAATGACGTTGTAATAGAACTCGCTAAGCTGTCAGATACTTTCTGTCTGTGAATACAGCGATTTCATAATAGATAGGATCCTGAAAAAATTCACATAATAATTTCTAGTACAAAACAAAAACGAATCTGCAATGATGTAGAAATTGCTATTTCGAGCGAATTTATCAATATAAATTTGCCATCATATTTATTCTATCATAATCCACTATTACGAATGATTAGCTGCAGAATTAGATACAAAAAATATCAATAATCTACTATACCATTGATGTTTTTTTTATACGACTGAAACGAAGAAACTTCATTGGTATACGTTACATTATGTGCAAAGATAATTTCATAGCCTTCAGCAAAAAATAAATAAAAGAATACGAATCGAAGCAATTATATGAAGTGGTTTTCAATTCAGGACTGGTATATATTAAATAAGGGACGACTGAATGAAAACTCCCATGCTTTACATAAATATTTGTCTATACAATGAATATATAAGAAAAATCGGTTGGTGTTCATTATTTACAAATACTTGAGAAGCCTTCTGCTTTAGTTTTTGACTAGCAAATAAATGCTATTATAAATACGAAACAGTTCTGTAGTACAAAAAAAAAGAAATACACAAATTAGTAATATCGCAATTTATTCATTCACATATTCGTAGGAGTATAAAGAAAATACATCATAATCATGTATTTATTATTAAATTTCATTAAATATAAATTTCAATCAAGATCAAAGCCTTATTTATTTGATCCAAGGAAATATTTTCTTTAAATTTTTCCACAGCATGTTCAAAATTTTCTCCACGATAAATATTTGACAAAGGTCACACTGTTCTTTCTCGATGAAATTAAACAATTCCATAAGACTAACGTAAGAGCACGTCCCGTTAGCTGTACACTATGATATTTTTACAGGAGATTTGGGCTGTAATCTAATGGCTTGAAAAAAAGTTGAACGCGAAAATAAGTTTCTCATTGTTATGTTTTAAACACCTTCAAATGTGGCAGCGCATGACAAATAAAGCGACCTGCTTGCTAGTAGTACATGAAATTTAGAAGAAAGAAAAATATTCTAATGATGACGTTGTATTTTTTTGCAATAGTCCATCTGTTTTCTTTTTTTTTCTGTTCTGTCAATTATGAAGAATTCATTTGAAAAAAATTTGTATGATTAATTCTTTTTTTAAAATAACATCATCAAAAATGAAACCAAAGATTGCTGCAGAAAATGTTAATGTCAGAATCATTTTCTCTGATGAATTAACTTTAATTTGTATCGTAAAGTAATTGCTGAAAACTCCGTCTATTTGTTCTCAAAATTACAACCTAGAAGAAGAAGAAATACTTAACTTATGTAATACATTCGCTACTGTAAAACTTCTTATTTTACTGATAACCGTTCTAATAATCCATAATTGAGTTAGCTTTGGCGTTGACATGACAGCATATCAAGCAAGTCGTTCAACGAATAGATTTTTTTTATGTGGCATGAACTATAAATAATTTATACCTTTTAAACACTGAAAAAAAAAATAACGAGTGAGTTTAAGCGAAAAAAATGTGTTGTTGAAATAAATTGTAAATGATAGGTTCAACCAGAAATAAGTAGTGCTTTTTATTTAATTATATATTTTGTGTATCAATTGGTATCTTCTTACACCAATAACGCGCTCCATTGAATTTTCAGAAATGCCGCTGAAATCTTTCTACCAACATACTACACAAAACTGAGTATGCTCGCCACGTAAAAAAAAACAACGCCCTCTATGTTGATATTGCTGGGATTAGTTTATCACTAGACCATTATATCGTGTCAGTTATTTTTTTTTTGTTTGTCTATCTTACAGTCAAGGGAATCAGCCGGTCGAACGATCACTCATTATATTATTATTAACGATCGTGTGTTGATTGGGTGAAATAGATGGATAGAATGCTCATGCATTCAATGCATGATGAATAACCAAGTGATCGAAGTCTATTTCCGCATATTTTTTCTTAGGAGTAAAAACATACGATTGTAGTAACTATTGCTATTTTTACTGTGTTTTTCTCCTTTCCTAGATAAATTAATATTTAATATCGTGTAATTATTTCAGTCTAAAAGACGGAAATGTTCTTGTCGCCTTTATTCTTCAACAATATTTTCAATAGTATATAAGCCAGATGACTAATTAATAAAAATTGTAATAATGAATTACGAAATAGAACAATAAGTCAAGAAAAAAATGCATAAAGAGACTGATTTTTTAAGCGTAGGAGTACCAGAACGACGAAGTCTAAATATCGTTGTATGTGTTACGTGCGTCATCACAACGTACAGGATCGGTTGGTAGGTTGATTACTCTCACTCGACGGAGAAGGGGATAAGGGTGTGTAACAATTGTTCGTTTCTTTTCCTTTTTCTTTTTTTCTTGCAACATTCTTCGTCTTACATGTGTTTTCGTCCGTCTTGTATTACAGACGGTGGCATGAAAAAATGTATGGATCGGTAAAAATGAATCAGCAATAGAAGCTCAATAATTAAAATTTTTGCAACTAATTAGAAGAAGAACAATAATATTAACGTAACATTTTCAATTGTTTTTCTTCTCTATATGTCGCAGTAAGAACATGTTTTTGTTTCGCATATGCCATTGCTTTCATCAATGCATATCTTTCATCGGCTTTATAAATATTTTGTTGCCTTGATATAAAATGTCAAATTCAACCTTGATTTATTTTAGATCATTTCAATGTTTTATAATTTTTATAAACTTTGATGAGCAAACCCGAAGATCTATCATCTAGTGGCCCGTTAACACTCAGATTTACTGGTGTTGATGATGAAGCAACATCAGACGAAGAGACGGAAGAAAAAAATGATAATCAAAAACATGCTACCAGTTCTACGGTATCTACGACACGTAATGGAGATACAAATAATCTCACTATTAATCATTGTTATGGTAATTTAAAATTCATTGAACTTTCGTTAACTCATTGTTTTTTCTCTTTTTTAAGAACATAATATCAATTCTGTGAATCTTCGTCGCAACCAATTGCTTTCAATTCCATATAAAACTTATTTTGAACGTCGTGAACGCCATTGGACATTTATACCAAGTACAGATGTAGTTGTTGTTAGTGTTGCTGTTAGTCGAGAACATCATTTTCGTCTTAATCCATTTTTGTAAGTAAATTAGTTATTCGTTTGATGAATTCTTGCATTTATTCATAAAGTTCTATAAGACAGAGGCATGAAAAAGAGAAATATTGGTTTGATGGTTTACATAGCAGGTAGTCATAATACGGGAAAATCCAGGAAAGCGACTTTCACAATTAAAATGCTCTAAGCAATAACTCATTTTTTTGCTTGTTTGATCTTTGTCTTTTATAAAGAATTTTGTTTGATTCAACTTTTTTGTCTAGGTACACAATAACATTAAAGCATGGCGATTTTAATTGGACAATTACAAAGAAATATAAAGATTTAGTTATATTTTTCGAACGTATGAATGTTTTTCAAAAGACTGCTGCACTGCCAATTCCGACAACATCGTATGTTGAATAAATAATCGATATGATATCATTGTTTTTCTTTCTCTTGCTGTTAGACATCGTGAAATTCGTCGTCAGATGTCACATTCACATGCTATACAAGGTCTAACACTGAAACCAGATATGCTTGTTGATGATAGTGATATTAATGATCGAGAGGTAAGAATTGAAAGAGTTTTCGTTTGTATCAATTTTTCTATTTTAGAAACTTGTAGCTGAAAAATTAAATTCCATTGTAAATCATCCTGTGCTTTCACTTCACAATGAATGTGTACGTTGTTATTGTAACTATGTTCGAATAGAAATTTCGATTCGAGTTTTTGCTTTAGATAAAATTTGTTGAATCCTCTCCCTTATCATTTATGCGTGAACTCGGACGTAAATACAAGGAAGGTATTGTAAAAAAGCTTTCAGGTGGTTATCGGCAAAGTTGTTGTGCAAATATTGGTGCACGAATAAAATGGCTTAAACGTTGGTTAATAACTAAAGATTCTTGGATTGCTTATTTAAATCCTAAAACTGGACATGTACGTGCTGTTATGCTTGTTGATAGGTTTTTCCATGTACGTACTGGCCGTCTTCATACTGGTTCAGTTAAAAAATTATATATATTTAATTTATCACGGTAACCATTTAAGTTTGTTTATACAGAAGAAATTTTTTATGCTTTATTTATTTTTTATTCTAAAAAGACGACTATATTTAAATTGCCCGACTGAACGTAAAGCAATTGAATACTATGATGATATCAATCGAATGTTAAAAACAACGGGTCGAGATTTTCATATTGAAACAAGATTCAATTCGTTTGCACCAATTAGACCAAATACAAAATGTCAATGGTTGGTTGATGGATCGGATTATTTCGAAGCTGTAGCTTATGCTATTAAGTCAGCAACAGAAGAAATCTATATAACAGATTGGTTTCTTAGTCCAGAAATTTATCTTAAACGTCCAGCTCTATCGGATGAATGGCGTTTTGATAAAATGTTAGAAGGAAAAGCGGCAAGTTTATTTTTAGAAATTTAATGAAGACAATGAATTTTATTTTATATACTTTAGGCGGAAGGTATACGAATATTTGTTTTGTTGTATAAAGAAGTTGAATTAGCCATCGGAATAAACAGTTCGTACTCAAAAAGGAAATTACTCGAAACACATCAAGAAAATGTCAAAGTTCTTCGGTATCCGGATCATACAGGACAAAATGCTGTACTGTTTTGGGGACATCATGAAAAATTAGTTATTGTTGATCAAAGTATTGCATTATTTGGAGGATTCGATTTGTGCTACGGCCGATGGGATAATTATCAACATTTGTAATAAATCTGCATAGATTGTTTGTCCAATGGATTTATGTTTGTATTTTCGTCTGATTTAGATTAACCGATTTCGGAAGTGCATTACCTATGAAACATCATGCCACTCTCAATGTGCCGAGAACACACAGTGTCCCGTTGGTAAGATAGTTCTCTCATAAAATGTTGACAATGAAGTATAATTTGACACATCAGAAATCTTCACATAGTTCTATTTCCTAGTAGGAAGTCATTCTGAATCAATTTGAAACAGAATTGTCGATTGTGCCTCCCATTGAATAACAAAAAGAAAAAGGAATCTTGAGGATCTTTGATTGAATCAGCATATTATTAACATACAATAGTCTATATTTATAAACTAATTTTTCTTATTATCTTAAATTATGTAGATAAATCCAATAATTCAACCACCCGTATCAATCGATGCATTAGATCTTGACAGCGCAACATGCAATCGTTTTATACATTCAAAAGATCACACTGGCCATCATAAAGACGTAAATTCATCACCATCGATACATCCAATGACTACTACGGATCTATTTTTTCCATCGAAATTCGTTCAATTTCGTAGTGAATATCAACTTAAAGATCATCTCAAAGAACCTCATTCTCATGACTCCATGTCAAATAATCTAAATGGCAATCCAGCAACAGTATCACCGAATCGCTCATTGGCAAAAGTACCTAATGACCAAACGCTCGATGCCATTGATCGAATCAATAATCCAGCCCGACGTTATTCATCATCAGATATAGATCAACAATCGGTTCATCTCGTGGACACACAAGATAGACGATTAATTGAACAACAGAAAAAACGTCGAATTTATCATTTTAATCATACACTTTTCTCGAATATTTATAAACGTTCACACCGTTTATCATCGGGGGATTCTCACATATTTCCTACGTCAACACAAAATCGTGAACGTCTTGCACGTCGTCGACATCAGAGTGTTAAAGATTCAGATATGACTGACCAACCTACAACATCAGATACGGTTTACAGTCGAGCTTTAGAAAAATATACACTTAACCCAGAACAAGACGACGCACAAAAACAACAGCAAGCCAATGGAACTTGTCGTGCAGCACTTTCTCTAACTGACGGAGGTATTCGAGGAGTGTCAACTCAAATATCAACTCGTCATAGACTTCCTTCGAGTGGTAATACGCCTGATCCTCAAATTGATGTTAAACAGCAATTATCACAGCAGCAAAAGTCAACAAAATTAAATGTTGAAACGAGCAATCGCGCAAAGAAACTTTCATTTCTGTTAAATCGTCGAAGAACAAGTTATTATCCAGATGAAAGCTCAAATGTTCTATCGGATGAGCCTAAAAAGAAACGTGACGTTGATTGGTCACTTAAACGATCTTATTCATTTGATACACCCTTTCATCGTGAAGCAATCGACGCTTTAAATAAAGGTATGTTTCTAAAGCATGAAATTAGGATTTGAACAAGAAAAAAAAACAGTTTCATTGTATCGTCTATCGTAAATCTAATTCATTTATAGAACAGAACTATTCTCCAAACGAGACTTGTAAGTAAAACTGTTGAGTTTGTATGTCCCTTACACTTGATAAATAAACATCTATGTTACTTCTTTATGATTTATTGTAATTGATAAATATTATCATTACAATAAGTTGTGCACGATGTGTTTTCACGTGTTGTGTTGTTTTCGAATTAGTTTCGATTGGTAGTTTTGTTAATTGATGTATGTCATTTTAGACAGTGGCTCTCGATGGGAACGATTAAAACTTGGTATTCAATCAAAAATTTATCGTTTTACAAAATCCACTGAAGATGTTTCAACGTTGCCTCTGTCACCAATAACTCGAATAAATTCATATGAAACACAACGAATATCATCTTCCAACCGTTATCTTGGTGTTAATGGTGGTCCTACATTAGACCGCATACGTTTACGTGATAAAATTCGCCGTGTAAAATTAAATATAAAGACGAGTTGGAAACAACGTTCCGATTTGAATGACTCTGCTCAATCCGATGTTGACAGTGCTGATTTTCATCGGGATTCTAAACGCGATGATATGAGCTCATTTATTGGTCCGGCAATGAAATCAACGACACATGAACTTGGTCTACAAGGCTCATCGAAGATGTGGTTCGGAAAAGATTATGCCAACTTTTTACTTCGAGATTTTCGTAATCTTGATCAACCATTCCAAGATCAAATTGATCGAAATATCATACCACGCATGCCATGGCATGATATTGGAGGTTTTGTATATGGCGCTTGTGCTCGAGATTTAGCAAGACATTTTATTGAAAGATGGAATTTTGTAAAAAGACAAAAAGCAAAAGATGATGAACAGTATCCATTTTTATTACCGAAATCTTATGGTATCTATACACCGTGCCCTAAACTTCTTTCGAATACATTTAATTGTTCAACACAAGTATGAGAAAAAAAAATTAGTCTTTGCTTTTCAGTATGTCTACAAACTTGAGTTGATTTTAAGGGATTGCGGAGTGTTGGTCGATGGTCAACCGGTAGTAATGATACTGAAGAATCAATACATGATGCTTTTATTGATATGATCATGAAAGCCAAATATTATATTTATATTGAAAATCAATTTTTTGTTTCGCTCATTGATGATTCAACTGTACGGAATCGTATAGCCGAAGCTTTATTCAAACGAATACTACGTGCATATCAGTAAATAGGATATTTTCTTTTTGTTTTCCGAATATAATTTCAAATCATTTCTTTTTGTTTTCTCTAGAGATAAAGAAACATTCCGTGTTTATATTGTAATGCCGTTGATACCCGGTTTTGAAGGACAATATGGTACATCGAAAGCAACAGCATTACAAGCTATAACACACTGGAATTATCGATCGATATCTCAAGGACAACAATCACTATTGGCACGATTAGCAAAAGAAGTGGGTGATCCACATCGTTATATTTGTTTTTTCGGTTTACGAACATGGTCGGAAATGAACGGACGACTTGTATCAGAAATAGTTTATGTTCATAGTAAATTAGTTATTGTTGATGATAATCGTGTATTGATTGGCTCGGCTAATATAAATGATAGAAGTTTAGTTGGTGATAGAGATTCGGAAATCTCCGTTTTACTTGAAGATACAGAATTTGTACGCGGAATGATGAACGGACAACAAATGCAAGTCGGAAAATGTGCAAGTGGTCTGCGTAAAAGATTATTTCGAGAACATCTAGGAGATTTCGATGGCACACAAATTAATTATCAAGATCCTATATCAGATTCATTTTATAAAGATACTTGGCTATCAACAGCAGCAAGAAATACAACAATGTTTGAAAAGGTTAGTTTTTCTTGCTCGCTTTACATCTATTGATTTTATTGAGATGATTTCTGTTCTAGATTTTTAACTGTATTCCTACTGATTCCGCATTTACATTTTCTCAATTACGTGAAATTCAATCAGCATCAAAACTCTGCGAGACTAATCCTGAAGAAGCACGTCGTCTACTTCAATCAATCCGTGGCTATTTGGTATTAATACCACATAAGTTCCTTTCAAAAGAATACCTTGGACCACGTTTGCCAGCTAAAGAAATTTTAGCGCCAGCTTGGTTTTGGACATGAATGTTCATAATAGAAAATTTTATTTTTGTTATTTAGTCATTGGGCAATAATAGATTTTTAATGATCTACATGCAATACAAAGCAATCTTTCCTTTATTTTATTATACAGTACGTTTTTGAACAGACATCAGAGAAAAAAAATTAGCTGTTGATTGCGAAATAAGAGAGTTCCGTCCATAGTTATTTTTTTTCGCCATTCTTCATTATCTAGCATGATATTGATCATTGAAATCTACAAAAAAAAGACAAAATTCTAAATAATCTTTATTTGATCAATATCTTTTCTTTTTTTTTATGTGATAATATTGTTTGCGATTTAGTATTTTGCATTTTGACATGTCTCTATTTCTATAAGATTTCATTCTGCTATAATATAACAACAATTTCTTAGCGTTCTTGTTGTAGAAACTTCATATAAGATATAAGGTGCGTGTAATTCAAAAATCTACTCGAGTTTTGAATTACGCGCGCCTTCTTTATTCTTCTATCGATATTATCGATTGATGGTGACTATTGAAATCTTCTTTTCTTCTTTTTGTGAATGGATATTAAATTTTATCTCATTTTCCTTTTTGTGTTATTTAATAAAGACATATGGCGGTAATACAAACAACTAAAACGCGGACAAAGAGAAAGATCAATCAAAAGCGTAACTTGTTTTATTTATTTTTTCTTCCAGAATATAAAAATGATAACGACTCACACAATCGAAAGTCATGGTCATAACAGGTCATGTTTCAGTTAATCCTCGAAATTCAAAACTATTTCATCAATCAAAATACTGAGTTTATTAGAACGAACATGTTTCATCTATTACTATACGCTGTATAAATAATTCTTCGTGATAAATACGAAATCATAATTACATCGGATTACATGCATATATTATGTGAATAAGAAATCTGAATGCTAAATACTATCACGAGAATCGGCAGTCCTATATCTTAAGGGCGTTAATTCATACATACACACGTCATTCAACTCACTGAAAAAAGCCTATTCATCATAGCTAATTACTATGATCAATGCGACATAATATAGCCATTATAGATATGAATTATTACTGAATATTAACTCAAGCCGAACAAGGATTCTCCTAAACGACAATATATCTTTATAGATTTTTCTATCGTATGCTTTAGTATTGCGATCATATCTATTTTTCCATATGTGTAACACGGAGTAACACGACAATTTACAACTACTTTTCTACTCAATAACCCACAATAAACAATCGTACTACACTGTATTTATCCTCTTCATCACCTATCAAGGGATTTAATTTAAATGCTAAATAATAGCCGTTCTACAAAATTTCACAAGTTGTTTCTTGAGATAAATAAATAAAATTCTCATTTGTTTATTCACACTAATAATTGAATAGAATTGACATAAAAAAATAAACATCTGCCATAAGCTTTTAATTTTGAAAGTAGACTTCTGAACTCGGCCTTAGTTTCTGTTTAGTGTTGATAAGGAATATTAATTATTTTTCAACTGAGACCATTCGGTACATTCATATTATTCGAGCATTCGTGACAGTATTTTTTTCGATCTGGGAGTTCTTCTGTCGTTCTGTTTGAAAAATAGTTTTTGTAATTTTACCCCCGGTAACCAGAGGTTTCTGTCATTAATCAATGAGCAATAAAAGAAAAATATTTCCCATGAGATTTTCATGATTTATTATCTAAATTTTTAGTTTACTATTCAATTTTTTGTTGCTTTAAAATTAGTATGATCAGTCTTACAAAGCATTTTTATAACGATATTAGGTAATAGAAAACAAAACATAAACCCAGAAGATAAACACAAATGCCCTAGAGTCACCGTCCTTTTCACTCGAATTATAATCTTATCTTTTTTTGCGTGTTATTTTCTTCACTGTTACCAGCATATTCATCACTTGAGATATTTCTATCAACATGTACGTGTCGCTTGTGCTTTCGACGATTCTTATTTTTTATGTTCATGGTGGTTTTGCCGTTGATTGCCCAAAATCATCGGCTCAATGGTGTGAAAATGCAAATATTGCACAAGCTTGCGGAGTAAGTAAACCGTTGTTTGAAAATATTTATTTAATCTTTATTTTTGAATTTAGGTAACTGAACAATGTAATAAATATGTTTGGAAAATTCGTGATGACAATGATCGTGTCAATTTAACTGTTTACTATGAAACACTTTGTCCAGATTGTCGACAATTTATTTCAACTCAAGTTTGGAATGCCTATCAATCGATTCTTAGTATTCTTAATATTAGCTTTGTTCCATATGGAAATGCACATGAAGTTTATCAACCGGAGACAAAATTATATCAATTCTATTGTCAACATGGTGCCGATGAATGTTTTGGAAATTTAATTCACGTAAATAGATTAAAACGCCTAGTTATTTGTTTATTTTTCGATTCGCCTTTGTCGTAGAGTTGTCTTATATTCATATATCGAAATACAACTCAACATTTAGTAAGATTTTTGTTTTAAGTAACTTTTTTAGTCTATTTTGGTTTATTTAGCCATTTATTTATTGTACAGAATCGACAGAGGGCGATGTTGAAACAGTAGCTGTACAATGTGCTGAAAAGACTTCGATCGACTATAGTAAAGTTAGCGCTTGTGTTCAAAGTCGATTGGGTAATCAATTACAACATTTGAATGCCGTTCAAACAGATAGTCTTCAACCACAACATCAATATGTACCTTGGGTAACAGTCAACGGTGTGCATACGGAAGATATGGAACAACAAGCTGAAAAAGATCTTGTCGGTCTTATATGCAAAACATACAAAGTAATTTAACAAGCAGTCATGGGGAATTTTTTTTTATTTTATAAACATGGTTTTACTCTTTTAGGGTTCAAATCCACCAGCTAAATGCCAAAAATACCTGTGAAAAAACTGACGTGATATATCTTTTGATTCCCGAGGTCTTTCTTTGATTTTTATTATTAAATTTTGTGTTTTGAAAAAATAATAAAACCAATCTAACGAATGTTTCATTAATTTAAATAAAATTTTCATAATTTCGCCTGTTTTCTTTTTCTCAATTCTCATAGCAACCGATTGAGAAATAAATGAGTCATAAGAAATCTATTGCAAATTTCGTCATTGACCATGTGCGTTTCAAAGAAAAGAAACAAATTTTTCATTCTAATCATTTCATAATCAAATATTAAAATAATTTTCGTTCCATTGATGAAGATCTTGAACAATTTATTTATCTATCATGATTATTTTTATATGATCTATCTTTTACTATTAACTACATTTTATATTTATTATATAAGCTTTATTCTTGAAGACAAAACGAATATATTTGATGGCAACGAAGAATATTATTATTTAGATAATTATGAAAGTCAAATCCCATTTTTACTATGGTTTAGAAAAGGATATCGATTATATTGACCCTTGATTCTTCTATCTTTTTTTAAGTTATATTTTTTATCATAATAGAAAATGCAAGAAAAATAGACGAATAAGAATACTAAATGATAATACCGATGAGGAATGCGCATTTTTTCTCGCCTCGTATTTCGTATTAATTTTGAGTCGTAGTACAATTCGTTTTTTTCTTCGATTGTAAAATTATTTTTATTTTAGAATGCTTGGAAATCGATGGAGTTTGACAGAAAATTTAACTTATCTTCTTTTAACACTGGTCGTCGTTTCATCATGGACAGATATTAATGGAATATTTGCTGAATTACCACAAATTATTTTAACTCAACCAGAACGTTGGAAACTTGGAGCATATCTTGCACTTGTAACTAATTTCGGTAATATTGCGCCCGCTACACTTGTTCTTATTAAATGTTTATATAAGAAACGTAGACTCAATCCTATACCGATCAATTATATTGTTATTATTATTGGTATGTTATCATGTTTTTTACTGATATTTTTTTGGCAACATACAACAATTATACGAAATCAACAGTTTAGTTCAGCACTTCTTGCACTTGCTTTTTTTCTATCTCTACTTGATTGTACATCATCGGTTACGTTTGCTGATTATATTCAAGGATTTCGTAAAGAATTTACAAGTACTCTGTTTCTTGGCGAGAGTCTAACATCCATTGTGCCAAGTTTACTGGCTATTGCACAAGGCAATGGTCAACTTGATTGCGTTTCGTCCACGAATGGAACGAAAGATATTCAACAAGTTGTTTATAAAACTGCTCGATTTTCTGTTTCTACATATTTTTTATGCTTATTTTTTCTTTTAACAATTTCATTAATTTCATTTGTGTTATTGCAGTGGACAAGTATTGCTCGTAGTGCGCGTCAAAATCTACTTGAGCTATCTTTAAAAACTACTGAAGACGATATTGAAACTATGAATAGTTTCTTTGAACAAACCCCCGTCTCATTTGAATCATCTCGTTTGACTGCAACTTCGTTAGTTTTTCTTTTATTCGGATGTGCTTATACAAGTTCAATTCTCTTCGGAATGCTTCTTTCAATCTCACCTTATGTGTTAATGCCATACGGACATCATATATTTTACTTCGGCACAGTTCTATCACCGTGGATCTTAACACTAGTTTGGGTACTGGGAATGGTAAAGCCTTTGATGCCTAAAATTTATGTATTTATTTTGATTTTGATTGGATCAATCACATTTCTATTCAATATGTTTGTTGCATTTAAAAGTCCATGTCCACCATATGTCAATACTCTAAAAGGTGATATTTTAATATTAACCATTTGGCTAAGTACCTATGTACTCCTCGGATATCCTCGCCTAATCATTGCAAATTATGTTCGAGATTATTGTTCAAGCGGTATGTTTTGGTACGGTGTTAGCGTACAATTAGGTGCTCTCTTCGGATCGATTCTCAATTATCATTTGATCGAAATTTTTTCTTTATTCAATGAGAAAATGCCATGTGAACAGATCAATTGTTAATTTTTCTCTATCATAGTAAAGTGGTGTAAATAATGAATAATCTCAGTTTTATTTACTTCACCATTAATGAAGATATTCATCCTTTACCACAAAATACTATAGATGTATGCCAGAGTCAAATTAGATATCATTCATGTTCACTCCATTAGCGATACTCGTACTCGTCATCAATAATCATCTTGTCAGAGCACGCGTCCATTTATTTCTACGTGTCCTTAAAACCTATTCATCATCATCATCATCATCGCTACTATTCATACGGTAGACGTACTTCATTCTCTTCTTTGACATTAATATAGATGTTCGCTTTACTGAAATCGAGCATTGCAATATTTTGATATCTCAATAAACAATACAAAAGAATTGACTCTATCTATCTTACCTTTTAAATTTGATA